CACAGGACCTAAAATATCTATGACAGTCCCTGTACCGTCACGGTACCCCGATACAGGTACTGGTAAGTCACCGCCGGTATGTTAGTCGTTGGTCACCGCATATGATTTTTGGGGAATTGTTCTGCGTGTCCATATATTTGAGCATTGCTCTCTTGTATTTCTTTGTCATTTTCATCATGTCTGAACTTACACTGTCATCCGCAAACATTGGCGCAGTTGTAATTGTTTCCGAATACTGCGCATCTCGCGCATTCGCATCTTTCTGTATCAAATAACAAATTCTACTCTTACCAAGAACACCAACTCCAGATCCAGATTTTTTTCAAAATGAGCATAAAACATGTGCTCAATCGGCATTTTTTGTCGCGGGTAACGGAGAATCGCTATAAGTATAACCCGATAGTCGACAAGTTGTACTATAGCAGGGATGGCGAACCACTGACCCGCGGGTCACAAAGTGACCGACAGCGTTTTATTTGTGACCCGCCAAGCGAAGGCACGAATAAAATAAAAATAAAATGCTAACATATCAGTGATAAAAATTGATAAAACCGGCCTTAAATTAATCTAACAATAACTAAACTATTATAATGTACCGTCAGTTGGACAGTCAGGAAGGGCTGCGATCGCTCATGTTCAAAATGTTGATTTTTGGGCCGGTATGGTAATTTTCAAAACCCCCAATCTTGTACGAATGTATGCACCGCTGTGTACCGTTATTCAGCTATTGGGCCCGCCATCGTTTATGACATAACAATGCAATTGATCTGTTCATTTCTCGCAATGCCTGTCTTTTTTGGAAGTGCATCTGCAGACTGTTGTAGGGGTTATACGAGAACTAGATGCTACTTTGCATTTTATTAGTTTCTCGTCTACAATGCCGTTGTGAAAACAAAAACTTTCAGACTTGAAATAAAGATCTAGAAATCTGATATAACAATGGGGCAGTGTAAAAGTGGCTTAATGTGGTTGGAAGCTGATCGAAAATTATAACACTATCAAAGCGGAATTACCTCCAAACACTAGAACCGTAAAATAATTTAACGCATCATCCTAAACGTTTTTGGTAATTCATGTGCGTGTTTTCGTACTCTAATATCATAGGACCGAGTGCCATGAAAAGTCCCTGATAGAAGTGCTGCATAAATAAAGCCCAAAACTACACCAACACCAGCTTATAAGATTTGTTTCAGAAGCTTCTTATAGATACAAACGTGAATTAAATATCTGTGACCCACTCTCTTCTGTTCCGCGATAAAATTATAATTTTTGACCCATTCATTGAAAAAGGTTCGCCATCCCTGTACTATAGCATAGTTTCGAAAATAATCCCATTTGGGGTAATATGGTAGGAGTTTAGCGGCTTGATTGATCATTAAGTACCGCATGCCAATGAAACTGCACAAGTGCAAGATTGACCCTTGCGCGAGGTGACCGTTTTAAAAAAATTCTTGCTTTTCGCAAGGTGGCATATATTATTCATCAGACACCAAGCAAATACATTCATTTATATGAATTTGTAATGGCTTGTTATCCTAATATGAAGTCCCAAATGGAAGAAAGTAACCGTACATGCCAGAAATATAGATATGGTCTTGTTAGGAAGAAAAGCTCATTTCCTACGCAGCAATATAAGAATGAACGTTATCTGACATTTGGAAGTGATAAAATATCGCTTACATTTCGAGCGTGTACCACTCGCTGCGATAGAAAAATGTCGCACAACAAGAAAAAAATTCAATTTGTTAATTTTAAGAAAATTTTACTACTATGAGATCATAATGTAGTTATGTATGGCGACACAAAAAAAAATACTTCGTCCAGCGAAAAGTCCGAGACTTTTTTAGATAAGTTATTCTGAAATCAGTCCTGAGGACATAAATTCACATTTCTAGACGCTTTATTTCAGCGCAGGACAAATATGAGATTAAAACCCCTGCTTTTCATGAAAAGAGTTGGGTTATTGGTCAATTTCTCTCTTACTTTTTACATTCGATAACGGCGTAACTAGTACATAGGTAAAAGTTGATAAACCCTGCTCTAGGGTGATAAAAAAGTCGATAATACTGCAAATCACGGCTCCTGCAGTATAATAAGTTACGCAACCTTGCAAAGCAAAAAACTTTCAACATCTCCCCACGACTGGCTTTGAGGTCCAAAGGCTCCAGCTGCTTTCCTTTAGTAAACGCGGTTTCTTTCAGTATTGCGTGCATAGTGCGGACGTCCCATAGCAAAACCTCTCTGCACCTGAACCAATAAATACATCTGGATCACAAACATCAATTTCTTATGTTCTGAAATATTCGTTATCACACTGGTCAACTTGGAAGATGAGACAAAAAAGCTTAAAGATTAGGATGAGATTTATGCCGGTAACTTCAGTTTTGCTATGTCACTCGACATTCCGGTGTAGTTTGCCTGCTTTTGTCAATCAAAACGGGAAAGCAATTTATCAGTAACTAAGTCAATGAAAAACACATTAACATTTAAGGAATCAAGCAAACAATCAATCTTCAGTCTCTGGCGGTGTGTCAATTGACAGAATTTTGACACAAAAATAGGTTAGTCGACCAGAACTTAACTTCAACTCTTCAAGTTCAAAGCCCGAGTTCACGCTCGTGTATTTTTAGTTTTCAAGCTTCAACGCCTGAATTCAACGATTCGTGTATATATAATTTTCTTTCTCAAGAATCAACGCCTAAACTCTTTGGGTTTGTGTCTTTTTATCAACTTATATATTAAAACTAAATGTTTTGCGTGTCAAACGGATCAGAAGATACATGGTTTATATACATTAATATAACTGTGAATCTTAATAGTGTGGCTCATCTTGCTAAGCGTTAGGAATACGCTCGCTCCCGCACTTCTGATTACTCTGCGTGGGTTCACAGGTTCGAATTCCATGCGGGGTAGTTATGGGCGAGAGGATTGCTGGACTCCTCGTCGTCGTAGAGTGGTTCACGTGACCGCTGGTCGGTTACGGCTTCCTTCCACCACCAAGTCCATGCTTACGAAAACAAATAACTAATAATTAATACCATACCCGACATGGAATGGTAATCGGGGCCGTATGATTGAACCGTCTCATCGGCTTTTCTCTGCCCCGGGATAAATGTGTAAATTCTAGTCTATACCGAATTGACTTGCATATTATCATTATGTATATATTTTACTGTGCCATTGGTTGTTACTTATCGATTTTAATCGGTAAGTATGTTGATAGGTATTTGTCTGTCTGTTTGTCTGTCTGTTAGATGCACGCGATATCTCACGAAAGCGAGATTGAATCTGCTCCAGATTTTGCATGTGCATTCATCATATGTCGTATCAGAAGCCTATTGATTTTGGATGAATTATGTCGTATAATTAGCGAGTTATTAATGAATTAGTGATGGGACACAAGGTGTCACTATGGAGTAAGAGCGCTGTTCTGGGGGATCACCTAACTTTCGATCGATAAGTCTTCGGTCTCTGACCGATATTCTCGTCTGAATTATTACACTATGCTATAATCCTAGAATAAGTTCCAGTTTAAATTACCATCCAGTAGATGCAATCACAGAGTAGCAAAATCACTCTGCCTCTACTCCAATTTGATGACTTGTAGTACAGACGCAGGGATGAATGAAGGATGCCATGACAATCTGCTTTATCCTAATGCCTCTGAAAATCTTTCTATTTCCATTAATACAACCATTCCAAATACGCAAATAAATTTCAAACGAAATCCGCTTACCCAAGCTTCAAGATATTGCAAAACGATGACGTAGTACAGTCCCACTCAAGCGTAGTGAAGCGGCCGTGAGCGGACGGACCGTATTCAGTTAATTATGAACATTGCCTCCATGTGACGCAACACGTAATCGTAAACAATGTGGTTCGTTGCACACGTTGTGCGTTGACGAGGTCTGCGATTTTTTTTATGAGTGTTTCTTACATAAAATACGGTACCTAAGTCGTTGAAATTCTGCAAGCTGCAAACAACGTATGTCAGTGGTGGATTGCAACTATTATACTAATACTCTTTCCACTTTTAGTTTGGGACTCTGGATTTTCTTTGATTAAAGCTGTGTATACTAATACAGAAATACCTGAATACTGACTGAGATACAGATACAGCAGTAGACTATAGCGAGAGTAAATTGAAAAGCGTGTTCACTCACCTGAAAGCATTAAATAAATTCACATACACACACAACTCTGCAACTGCACAATTACAGAGATAGGCTTGGCTATAATAGGCTGTAATAAAAATTGAGATAAATTACTGTACATCTGTACATATTGGAAAAAAAAAATTATTTTCCACATAATAATAGTTTTATATAATGGTTGCCAAATTGGGTGCATGTAAGATTAAACGACGTAATTACTTCTATTTGGCATGGTATAGCCATTTTTGCATATGTCTGTATGTTATTCCTAACCACCCACCACCTGACTACGTCATCCAAAGATTACGACCTCACTATCATGTCAAAAGCTAGTAAGTATAGCTACGATTGCACAAAATTGCATCTTCGCCACTGATAACGAACTCACTAACGCAGTAACGGCAATGATCTCTCTCAGATTGAGATCGTTACGGCAAGAAAACAAGAGCTTGCTCGACTTTGGGTGATCGTCTGTGAGTCTTGGATGACAGTTCTGCAGTCAGTATAGTTTGGATGGCCTTATTACATTACGGTACTGTGCTGTCATAGTAGTCAGGTGGGGCCTAGGAATAACATATCTGCATATGCAAAAATTGTAGGCCAACTAGAGATACTTACGTCGTGTTGTGAACATGGCCCCCAATTGACTATCGATTTTGTAAACAAGAGTGAACAGTAAACAGGTAAATAAAAATATTTGTTAAAAAGATATCACCAAGCTGATTATAATATAAAGTTGCCAGACTTAGATATATGAAGTGTAAGTACTGAAGTAGGTTTAAGTAATTGCTATATTATTAATAAGAAAATATTTTGTACTGAATCAATTTTTCAATTCATACTTTGCCTTTGCAGTCCTCTAAATAAATCATTAAAACGTCTATAAAATGTCTTCACCTGAAAAATCGAATCCCGAACTTAAAGCTGGTCATGCCCCAGCTGTTAAAGCGGGCGGAATGCGGATTAAAGCTCCTCGAGCTCACGAAGAGAAGATTACAAAAGAGGAGGCAGAATCCCCTTGGGAAGGAGATGGACAGAAGCCTGCAGAAAGATCTGTTATTGTTTCAGGGGCCATGACTCATGGAGACAAAGATTTCACACCAGCATCTGTGAAAGTAGCGCATGAAAAGCCCATGCCTTCTCATCAAAAACCACCACCAAAGCAGCAAAACATGATCATCCAGCAACCTCGCTGAGATAATGAGTTGTCATCGGAGCATTGCTTTTCTGCAAATAAAACTTTTGTTGCAATAGCAGAACAGTTATTATTTTTGGTAGATAGTGGTGGAGGTGAAGGATATATTTGATTTAGTCGTAGTTGATATTTTATCGTATTATTCTATAATAACATAGTACAGTGTATGTTTAAGCAAAATTTAAAATCAAAACAAAATTGATGCCTCAGTTTCTGAATAATTCAGTAATTGGACATTCCTAGAAGAATATTTAAAATTTGTTTTGGGTATTTACATGTGCTGTTTTGATGATATTTGAATTTTAACACATGTGATTCTTATATTCTTGAGCTCGATTTTTGGAAATCTCAAATGATAATTATTTCCCGTAAAAATGAGTAAATGAAAATACATAAATCTTTTTATTTTATCGATTAAAAATCTCAGGATTTTATTGAAACAAATTTAAAGGTTATTTAAACTTTCCACTAGCAGCAAATACACCACCGTACTGGCCATTATTGCAGCGGCCAATACGGTAAATTAAATGCTACTTCAACCGTCTTATATAATCTTTGTAATATGTTGTATCTGTCATAGGTAGGGTAATATTTGAGTTATGGTGGTTTTATTTGTTTTTGCCAAATTTTTGAATCATGTTTGTTGAGAATTATTCTGTTTTGTTTTTATGTTCATGTCCAGTTCTTTGAGATCATTAAATAGTTGCTCAGTTTTTTCAACTGGAAAATCATTTTAATTGTGCGCAAAGAAAATGGCCGTATCTGAATACATACTCTTAGTGAAAAATTTGATCTGGAATATCAACTGTGTTTTAAAGCAGATCGTGTGTAAAGACCGACCCCATTGCAATATAACGATTATGATGTGCAGTAACAGTTATACCAGAAAAATGTAGTTACTTCCACTGGTTATTTTTTTTTTTGTAATATGAAGGTTTTATGCCAAAAATATTCACATTTCCTGAATTTGTAAAATGAAAAATTTTCATATAGAATATAACCATTATTTTAACCATTTGAAACATCCCCAGTTCTGCGATTTATTAAAATATATTTGCAATGAGTTCCTGTGTTGTTTTATTTTTGGTCTTCTACTGCCAATTACTGTCATATTGAAAGATGGGATAAATTAACTCATCTGAAACTTTGAAATTTGAAACTTATCATTTTTCTTTGTGTATTATCTGGGCCTGTCATATTAAAAATGGCACTATTTACTAGTTTTTCGACAGTTTTGCTTATTTTAAAATGAAAAAGTTCTAAACGCGTATTACTGCTTTCTATTTCATTATAATCATGGTGAAATTGCTCCGATGGTTTATTTTAAATTTTAGCGTTATTTAAAGAAAAAAATATCATGGATAAAAGATTAATTCCGCCATCACATTTTGATCCAAATGAAAAAGATTCATTGGAAAATACCCCATCTGTGTCTGCTCAACAAGATGATTTCACTTTGTCATCAACATCGGTAAATTCAAACAGACAATCTGGAATTTCTGGAGAGAATTTTCAACTTCGTCCACCTCATGACTTTTCATCACCTACAACAAAACCGATGTCTAATATACCTCCTTTTATACAAGTTGGAAAACGTCTTGATCCATCGAAGAATGCGCAAAGCTTTATTCCTGGTAAGTTATGGATAATAATGTGATTCATATTATAATTAGGTTTATCATTCCTTAGGAAATTGAAAGTGACCTAGTTCATGGCTGTCCGAAAACAAATGATGCAAAAAGCTGTATACGCTAGAACTATTTTTGTTGTAGAAATATATGATTACATAGAATTATGAATAGGTATACTTTAGACGCATTGTATTCAACTTTCTTGGTAGTTGGATAATTGCATAGCATTTCAGTATTACGTTTTCCTAATGTTCATCAAATTTTTCTTCATAATTTAGGACATTATCAAACGCCTCCTCAAATATCACGTAATCAAGCATTTTCAATGTTGCCATCTCAAAGTGAATCCATGCAGATTCTACAACAGCATTCTTCTGAGAAATACTCGGAACTTCTGAGATTACAGGCTGAAAATGAAGCTCTGAAATCAGTACTACAATGCAAGAAATCAAGAATTACTGAGAAGGTAGCGTTTTATTTAATCTTCTTATTTTCAAAGTATGTGCCGAATTTTATCATCGGGCCCTATTAAAACCTCTTATTTAAATGGCATCAATAGCATGCCGTAGTTAGCAAGTTTAAGCAGCATCTGGTGTCTGCTTGTTTCCTGATGAAGTGGAATTCAACCTAATACTTTTATTAATGGTTGGTCAGTTAACTAGGTTATTGAGATTAATAATTACCAAACTGTTGAATGTATAGATTTTATCAAAAATTTTTGCAAAATCAAAATTGTTTATATTGTAATAGGCAATAGCATTAGCTAAATAATTACGAGATATCCACTATCAATTTCTTGGTTGGATTTGCATCAATTGTCTAATTGCCATGTTATGCAACAAATATGCTACATTATGGCACTAAGTTTGTTGCGATTCCTGCAATATTGAAAACAAGGTGGTTAACTTTGTCTGGTTAAATAGACTTCTGTCGATTATTCAGTAAAATATTGAGCTCTTACAGTTTTATTATGAATTGTTGTTAGAACTTTATTTTGTTTTCATCAAAGGAAAACACTGCACCAGGAAGCTGTGATAATAATGCCCATCAAGCAGTGATTGAACATCAAACTCAACATATTTCAAGACTTCAGAAAGACATAGATAATCAGAAAGAAATCATAGCTAAAAGGTATTAAATCATAGCATTAGGTTATTTTGAAAATAAAACACTCATATTCCAAGCCCTTCAGAGTTTTATTATGAATGATATATATTTGATTGGAACATTAATAAGGCTTAGGAATAATAAGCGTTTGCCCAGATTGCCATCGCACCTCTGAATCTCTGATTACCCTGCATGGGTTCGAAACCAGTGGAATATGATTGTTGTACTTCTCATCATTGCAGGTCTGTTTGCGTAACTGCTGGTTAGTTAGGCTTCCTCCACCATAGTGTCCCATGAATCTCAAACAAATAATTGGTTAACTATTCTCACACCTACATGTCTTGGTAACTGGATGAGGAGCTTGATTAGCCATATGATAAATCTCATCGACTTTCCTCTCCCTCTTCCCCCCCGGGTTAAATATGAACAATCAATATTATTAGGTCAATAATTTTTCTATGTGCAGAGAAAATGAGGTATCCCAATACCAAGTTGCAATCACAACTAAAGAAAAAGAAAACAAGGAATTACAAAGCTCTATGGAATTATTGGAATCGCAAATAGAGAGAAAAAATGAAAAAGAGAAAAATTATCATGAGGAGATTGAAAGTTTGCAAACAACCGTCGAAGAATTGAAAGCAGAAAAGGACAAAATGTCAAAAAGGTATTATTATACAATGAGTTTATTTTTCTGAATAATGAGTTATCACAGTAAAAATATTTTAGAATTCAAATAATTAAAATCACAGTTTTCTTGTAATAAAGTATAGGCTAATCTTGAAACTTTTCTTCAAATTGAGTAAAGGGAATAATATTTGAAATAAATAGCAATGAAGACTTATACACTCATTATTATCGTAGGTTGTTCATTTCTGAATAGAAGCTGAAGTGGGAGTGATGGTCTAACAGTTTGGCATTAGACATAAATCGTGTTGGAATTTCAGGTTCAAATCTAATCCACCAGTCTTATCAAACAAAAATTTTCAGGGTGATGGTTGCGAATGAGTGTTGTGTTGTATAACAAAAATCACCTAACTATATTTTTCAGTCACTCCAGTGAGATTGAGGCATTGAGACAAGAGTTTGATGAGGCGAAACAAATGAATGCATCTAATTCAACCAGTAAACTTGAAGAATTATCAAGGAAATATGAGGCTGATAAACTTGTTCTGGAAAGGAAAATGGAAGAGTTGAAAGTTCAACATGTAAAAAAGGTATGAATATATCAAGTATGTTTAGTCCATATAATCCTGCACATAATTTGTTTATGATTCTGTTATTTATATAAAATTTTGAAAAATGCATAGGTTTGCTGAGAAACTATTCTGTCACTTCTGTGTCAGAAAATTCTTAGAACAACCCTATATATGGCAATGTTCTATTTTGTTTGAAAATAACTGAAGAATACAAGCAGTTAATAGCATTTTAATCGTCAACAAAAAGAATTGAAGATAAATTATTAGTAACACATTGCTGATATTTTAATTACCTCCAATTACCTGACTACTAGATTTTTTTAATTATCTTCAATTTACTGTATTCTAGATAAAACATCTAGCTGAATACTTTCGAACAAGCCACTTACCTGAATATCTTATTTATTTATAGATTGAGACAATTGAAAGCTGTCATCAAGATGAAATTACTCAACTAAATAATAATCTTACTGAAAAAGTTAATTCTCACAATAACATTGTGGAAGCATTGAATCAAGATATAGAAAGATTGAAGAAAAGTTGTGAAGATATGAATAAATCTCTGGAAAACAAAATATCTGAAAATCAGGTTGGATAATAATATTTAAGTTGGGGAGTTATCAACTTGTGTGTTATGAATGCATTTAGTATATGTGTCTCTTATGTATTCATTATATGATGAGTATGTCAATTTGATTCTACGGCTCTTATTTTTTGTCAATTTTGTTGTTATAGAAAAAAGTAGAATTTTTTAATACTTTGTGAACTACTTTAAGAGTCAATAATATTAATTTAATAAAGTTCGATGACAACACTGAAGCCCTATGCCACACACACTTTAACTGATTAGCAACAAAAATTCTCTGCTGTGCTTATCTATAAAGCATTATACTCTTGAACAGTTTAGAAGGTTTGTGAATAATGTTTAAATAAATAGATCTTTTTTTTTCTATTTTATTTTAAAATATGACGATTGGCGCTATGTTGTTGTTGATGGCTGTATTGTCAGAATACCCTTTTTCCTTCCCTATTGTATTGAGGGATTAACATTTATTTATCTTTGCTGAACAATATACTCTCTGTAAAACAAAAATATTTTATTATTAGAATCTGGAAATCGACCTCAATAACGTTCAACATACTCTCGAAGCATCTGAAAAAACTTGTGAGAAACATCAAGAAAAAGTCAATCAATTACAAGTGTACATTGGGCAGCAACAGTCGGAAGATTATGAGAGATCACAATGGAAAAATCATAAAAACCAATACGAAAATAACATTGTGGTAAACATCTGAATTTTTTGTTCATTTTAAAGAAATAGTATATCAGATTATTCGAACTTGTGTTTCGCTTATTTGTACAAGGTAAATAGTGATGCAGTCGCAATCATTTTTCTGATGCTACAGATCAGAGGTGTACAACATTTTTTTTTGTCGGCGGGCCATATAACCAACTTCAGACAGCTAGCTGGGTCACACAATAAATTTACCGTAAATTTTTGCAAACACACAATGAATTAAATAAATTCCCACAATGAGAAAGATATTGCTTAGCCCTACAATAATATAGGCACCGGGTAGAACTGTGAAAGATTTACTGCAGTGACAAGAGAAGAAAAATTATGGATTTTTACACATGTGTGCACCTTTTTAAACAAACTCTCAGATTAGGTAAATTGTTGACAAGGGCCACAATTGGCGAGCTGGGTGATAGGCCGCGGGCTGCCTGTCGCACACCCCTGCTTTAGAGCTGTGGTTATCGAGTTTTCATAATTCGTAGCACCCCTTCCAATTCCAATCCCTTCCAATGACAACACACTTGCGACCCTCTGCTCTTCAATAAAAAAGAATTGTATCTACTGATTTCGATCAGTGATTTTGATTACCACATTAAGATCAAAAAGCCAGCAAACCAATGTAAAAGGAATAAATGCATTGTGGCCAAATAATGAATAAATCACAGTTAATTTACGTTTAAATTAATATGGCCATTGCGAATGGTAGAGAACCACCTTGTGACTGAAGGGAAGTCAAGGGCCCAGTCGGAGAAACCTTGACTTAAGAGTAGTGAACTATTATTAATTTGTTCAGTACTCGTTTGTGAAAGAAGATGAAGATGTTATTGATAAAAAAATTTAAATTTTTTGATTTTAAGGCTCTTCAAAGTGAAAAAGAATCATTGAATAAAACATTAGAACTGCAGAATGTTAGACTTCAATCGATAACTAAAATTTTGACAACTCAAGAAGAAGCAATTCAAGCCAATGCGAAGTCCTTTTCATCTGGAAATATTAAGTAAAGTTGAACCTATTGAAATTATATGAAAAAGCGCCCCAGAAGTTTGTGTACCAGTATGGCCTTAACTAAGTAGGCTTTATACACCTTCTGTACCTATTGGTGAAACTACTAAAATTGCTTATTTATGGAATGGTCCTTACAAAATTATTACAGTTTTGGAAAATCAGAATTTTCTGATTGAACCAGTTAATGAAAACATTAGGAAATCCCATCCTAGTATACGAGTCCATTTCAATAGACTCAAACCCTTTATTACAAGACGTGTTTGCCTACTTTACACCAAGTTGTCTAAAGGGACTGAAACCTATGGGCAGGTGGTATATTCACTTGGCTAACACAGACAGTGCCCGAACTCGTAATAAAACTAAAATGAGGAAAATCGAAATAAAATTATGGCCGAACCCTAAACTGGTACACACACTACGGGAATATCGAAAAAAAATGTCAAAACCATTTATATACATGTGATGTAGTGTTTAAAAGAGATATATCATTTGTGCAAATATCTCACCCAAATATCAGCTGATTTTCATCAAAACACAACACTGGATTGTGTAAAAATATTGTGAGCGAGAGGGTCTGATGCTGATATGGGTAAACTACGACTTGCGGGCCAAATTCGGCCCGTTTGTTAATTCAATCTGGCCCGCCTTATGCTGCCATAACCAAACTAAAACCAAATTTTGATGTTTTAGCTTAAAAAATAACTCAAGAAATTTGTTGATATTGCAATCAACAAATTCACAGTTTTGGCACGTGGCCTATTGTTTTCCACTTTTGCATTTGTAACACTGTAAATATTGTTCATAAAATATAACTTTTTATGTCACACCTATGGTACATGGCGCCAGTCTAGCCTTTCAATCTTTTCTTTATTTCAAACATGCTCAATGTTTTTTATATTGTACCGCAAAGCACATATGATCACCATATTGATAGGCAGTACCGTGAGCTTCTACAGAAATATATTATTTTTCAATTTATATGGATGGGCATCATGTTACTAAATATAAACATTTCTATAATTATTTTCAGAGGTAATCCAGAACATGTTGTCATCAGAAGGTGGAGAGAAAAGGTCTTCGAACTCATGGTTCAACTCAAATCTAATGAAATATCAACAAAGAATATACAGAACAAGTATACGCTTGCTGAAAAAGATTTAGAGGAAAAGTTGGAAGGTATTCTAATGTTTTTATTATTAGCAATCCCATGTTTCTGGAAATGTTTACCTGAAATCTATAAACTGAAAGCAACTTTTTTACTGCACATATTCCTTTTCAAAATCATGTCCTTTTCATCTGGAAATATTAAGTAATGTTGAACCTATTGAAATTATATTAAAAGGCACCCAAGAAATATATGTACCAATATGAAGGTAACTAATTTTGTTCGCCTACTTTACATCAAGTTGTGTAAAGGGACTAAAACCTATGGGCATGGGGTATATTCACTTGGCCAACACAGACAGTCCCCGAACTCGTAATAGAACTAAAATTGGAATAAAATTATGGCCTAACCCTAATCTGGTACACACACTATGGGAGTACCCACATTTCTATACAGTATTTTTCGATTTCATCATCTGATTGAACTATTTAGTATACTCAAAATAAAAATTGTTTTCAATAAAGATTCCAAACCCTATTAATTGCTAGGTTAAAGGTTTATTGGGTATGAAGAACTATAAAAATTAATTTAAATGAAATATGTTCGTGAAATCTGTTCATAAAATGTTCAACATTCTGTGTGATTTAAATCCATCTTTTCATTTTGAAGAGGAACAGCGAGTCAGCGTTATTTTGGAGAATCAACTGTGTGAATGCAAAGCTCAACTTGAAATGCAAGAAAGAGAAAATAGTTCGCTGTCCGGTTCAAATCACCATCTGACTGAAAAATTGAAGGAAACGGAACAAACTATTGCCCAATTAGGTATCTATTGACTGTTGTGTATTATCATAGTTGCATAATCTTAATTGCCTATGATAGCAATAGATACAATATGAAGCATTATATGCATGAAATGTTGAAATTTGTATGGAAAATGACTCTGCAGTGTGGCCAATCGTGCTAAGCGTTTGGAATATGCTCGCCACATCACCTCTGATGTGTTGTTCGCAGGTTCAAATCCTGTGGGAGCTAATTATGTACTAGTGAATGGACTCTTTGTCGCTTTAGAGTGGCTTACGTAACTGATGGTCGGTTACAGCTTCATTCATCAAGTCAGCAAATAACTGGTTCCCTCTCCCCCAGTATAAGTATGTAAATCCTCTCCTATGAACTTTTGAGAATAAGCTGTTCTATCTAACATGGCCATGGTCCTGTAATGATGTTGGTAGCATCTGGTTCGATGGTTTTCAAATTTTTCTGTTATTGTAATAAAAATGAATGAATTCTCAGTTCGGAGAAAGAGTTTATAATATATTCACATTATTGAAGTATACTTAGAAGCTAACTATCTCTTATATTGCCTTGTAGAAGAAAGTTTAGTATCAATGTCGGAAAATGTTGCCAAGTCCACAGGAAATCTTTCCCAGGAATTTCAAACCAAATTTTCTTCACTCTCGGAAAAAACTATCCATTTGGAGCAAAGGATTATGTTTGCAAGTAACAGGTAAGGCTACGTAAATAAATAAATCCCAAATTTATCTAATAATGGCACAAAATTTGGTACATCAACTCAACTTTTCATCACCAGATTACGAGATTCAACTCATTACTTTGAAACTTCTTGATTAAATGATCAAATAATGAGATATGTCATACTATTGATTTAGATTACGTACAGTTCAAGATCTCATGTTGAGAAAAGATAATATATGGAGGGCAAAACTTAAACAAATAAGAGAAGATCATGAATCAGTTCAGAAGGAAGAAGGCATTTTAACTCAAGCTGAGTAAGTTATTAACTGAAGTAGAAGAAAGCACTCACTTTTTCAAGTACCAATGTAGGATGGCCCAAACCGAGTATTTTATCATTCCGAATACATTCTGAAAGCATATTTTCAAATATGAAATATCGAATACATTCTAAATTGGGGGCACTTAATGTGGAAAATTACATAAATCACTATGTCAGGGGTGGGCACACCGCGGCTTGCATGTGGCTCGCCAGACTTTTTGTGCGGCTCTTCTCGCTTAACATAAATTATCATCCAAATTTTAACTAAGAGAAAAACTTTAATGTAAACTTTTTTAATTTATTAAAAGTCGTAAAGAAGTTTTTGTCAATGATTAGGACAAATTATGTTTAAGAATAAAAATCGCTGTAGCGTTGAATTTTGAGTTTAAGTCAGTCAAGTCAGCAAATCTTTCTTCACAATGGTCAATGTTTATTGATGCGTCGGCGGTATTGCAGCTTGATTGCGGTTAGTTAGTCTAAGACTCTAAGTTACTGTGCGATATGTCCTCAATTATAAAACGAAAGTACGAAGATGAAAACAGAGTTGTCAAGTCAGAATGGGAAGAAGAATACGCATTTTCCAGTCATGAGAATAAACCTTTGTGCTTAATCTGTCATAAGCTACTAAGTCAGAATAAAGCCAGCAATGTTAAACGACACCATGAAACGAATCACGAAAACCTCTTACGAGACTACCCTCGTAAATCAGCTATAAGGAAACACAAATAAATGAGCTCAAATTGTGCCTATATTTGAGTATAGCTGCCTTGTTTATCTATTTATTGTTATTGGACTTTGTGTGAATTTCTTTTCTGTTCATGGTATTTCGATAATATTAATAAATTCACAAATTCTGCGGCTCTTTTAAAGTTCTGACTTGCAGCATGCGGCTTTTATACTAAAACATTGTGCCCACCCCTGCACTATGTCTTCATGTTGATCACATCTGAAACATTACAAATATGAAAGGTCATTTTTTTTGTGCTGTTTGTTCCAGTTGAGATATCGTATGTTTTGATCTGCCTGTCGGACAGCTCAAAATCATCGAATTTATTATTATTATAAATTCTATATTATTCCTAAATTCAAAAATTTACTATATTCGATATATTGAATGTCATATGTATTTGAATGTTCGATTCATTTTGGACATCCCTGGTACCAATTTGATGATTCTATCATACCAACCATCATATCAAACCATATGCTCTTGCTTCTGTAATCTTGAGTTTTATTTTGATACCATAAATAGAACCTTTTCAACTTTGCTTGGCTACGGCAGTAATTTAATTGACAAATTTACACACAATTTCTCTTTAGGCGACCCGACTTAGTTGCTGAAATTTCACAATTAACAAAAGAAAGAGACACATTGAGTCAAAGGTTAAGTAGTGATTCAGCATCATTCGAAGCAGCTATGACAAACTTTAGGCAGAGAGAATCTGAATTGGAACAGAATGTCACAACATTACAGCATGACGTACAACAAAAATCTGAGGTAACTTGCTATTTCAAATATGAAGAGTATGGCTTAGAATTATGAAATTATTTTCTAATCAATGTCCCCATGCCCTATATTATACAGATTTATTATAGATTATGAAGAATTTTCATTTCAAAAACAGGAGATTGCAGAGTGCAAAATTCAAATAGAATCGATGGAGGATAGACTGAAGGATTATGAGCGAATAGCTTCTGATGCAAGAGATAGTGAAAAAGCCGCTAAAGAGAATTGTGCTGAAGGTGCTTTTTTACGGATAATTCTTTTTAACAATCTGACATATTTTATACCCTTTAATTTTCATGTTTTATAGGTTTGTATATATTAGATTAGGTATTAAAATGACAGTTCAAAATATCATAGTGAAATATATATTTGGTAAGTAAATATTTGTGAAAATAATTCAATATGCAAATTATCTGTCATACCTTCAATCTGACACAAATTTAGACCCACATTCTGACTTCCCATGTTTTGAGTTTAAGAAGACAGAGAATTTTGGGAAGTTTACAAACCACATCATTCTGTTTTTCAGATATTGAAAAGAAATTGGAAGAAGCATGGAAAACGTGGGATGCAGAAAAAAGAGAGTTGGAGAAACGACTCGAGGAATCACAAAGGGAGCATGCTAGAACTGTTGTCACTTCAAGACAAAGTGAACGGTAATTGTTTCTCATCATCATATATTTGCTTGTATCATAATCTAACAAATATCAAATTTGATTCATAAAATAACTTTCGAAACCAAGCATGAAACATATATCATTGAATATTAACTTCGACATTATAGTTAAATTACTTCATATTTATATATATATTTTTTATATTACCATATTTACTGTTACATGAATGCTTAAGCATAGTGAAACACAACGGGTCATGACATGAGCCTCAATAATCTTCATGGTCTTGCAAACTGACCCCAACAAACTATATCCAAACTGTGGAATGTTTTTATGCATTATATTATAGCATATATTTATTCGTTAGCATAAATGTTGTTTCTTGAATTATAATCTTTCTATCTCTTCAACTATATATTGATTGGAAGCTGGCTGATGATGATGGCCGAGATTTAACGTTACTCTTCAGATATGCATTTTACTTCTAACAAGTTGTTTAGTCACAAAGCTCTCGTGCTTTCTCTGTTTCTGTTTTATTTTTCATTATATGTATAATTACTTTACAGAAATGCAGTTCGAGAGAAGAAAAGAGCTGCTGAAAATTTACAAGCAGTTGTTGAAGAATGCAGACAAGAAACTGAAAAATTGCAAACTCGAGTGAAAAGTTTAAAAATGGATAATAATCTTCTAATGGTATTCGTTTCAAGTTGTACTTTTTCGTTTTACAGCAATTCTGCTAATTAATTTTTTACAGGGCTAGGCATGTTGGTATACCACATGGTTTCAAGCTAAGTATCAAATATTTGGTAGTATATTCGTAGTTATTTCGATGAAATGTTAAATATGCAAGATTTGCTGTTCTTGCCATCGGCGTCAACAGGCATAAAAAAAATCACAAAAAAATGAACCTGACTTTTGGTATAAAGTATGAATTAACACAAGTTAAAGTTTTGAATAAAATTAAAATGTTCTTTAAATATTTACAGGCTACATTACGACAGCAAGGTCTTTTGTCAACCTTCAAAGAGGCTCGCGCACAAGCAAGAAAACTTGACATTGACACATCGGTAAATAAACCTAAATTGAAAAGCACTGATGGAACTAGTATTGGCAAAGTGGTTGAACCTTGTACGACTTCTAGTGCAACCCAATCAGTTCCTGCTAAACCAGCTTCGAGCAATACCGATTCGACTGAAAATGTGAATGATTGTACTGCAGAGATGCTCAAGGATTTAGTAGTTATGACTGAAAATATACTAGATGATTCAGATTGAGTTGAATATGAAATTTTTGACTTTTTGGCTACGGTCTCAGTTCTCAGGTGTTTCGATTGAAATTTTTTTTTATATGTGTTGCGTTTGAAATTAAGTTTGCACATCTTTCTTTCCGAATTATTGCCAAAACATTGAGTAACACATTGATAAAGAAACTGGGAATGTTTTTTTGTGAATTTATACCTTTTTTAATTTAGACATGTTGATTATATACTATATTGCTATCATTTGTGAAAACTGGATGCTGTTTTTTATTATTTGTACTAGATTCAGTGACCACTGTATCCAAAATGTGTTTTAGATATATATTTTTTTATTTAGAGCTGCTATATCCTTTGTATTTTCATATCAATCACCTTCTGTTTATAAACAATACAATGATACTTGAAAAAATTATGAAATCTGCTTGTGCTTGAGATGGAATTATAGCGAGTTAAATATTACAGCTAGTTAAATAGAACACGGAATGTTCTGAACACTTTTACCTATTAATTTTTTATCATACCATGAAGGATATTTTAAGTTTAAAGACATGTAAGAGTGAACTTTTGTGAAACTAGGTTTCAGTAGCAATACAACTTTCGGTGGATTTTTTTCGCCCGGCGTGATGACCGTTTATGCATGGCATGTTTCTCGACGGTCGGCGTCTTCAAGGACGCGCTAGTTCGAGATCCTCGCATTTGTGTAAGATTTCGTCCAGGGATTTTCGCGCAAATGACATCGGCCACTAGTCGGGCAGATGCTATGACTTTCGATCGATTAGGCAGAAACTGTAAGTTCCACTGGTCACGTCAATAACATATTTAGGTGCGGAAATATACATTCTTGCCATAAATTACCATTGCGGCACTTCTATGGCCATTTTCGCGAATCAGCGCTGCAACAGCTTTTTTAGAGTAAAATTTCGATTTTGCGCTTCTAACCCAACTTAATTGCGCTCTTAGTAGAGTTTAGTTGGTACAAAGATGGTGGTGAATGGACGGGCTCTAAGAATTTAAGATAATGTTTCAAATTCCTTTTCCGACCCCGAAGCAAGTGCGTTGACTGATCATTCTCACAAAATCTGCACATAGAGCGTCTGATAAATAGCGTCAATTGGTGCAACTCTGTGCTCTATCGTTATTAGCAGCTTGAATCGGACTCCAAAATTGTAATGATCGAACCAGATATGAATATGTCTGTGGCAGAATATCAAAGTACATTTGTTAGATCAAGCGACAGATCTATCAGACAGGCCCGCGATCATGGAAACCGATAAAAAGCGCAAAACCATGTTGCGTCATTGCGTCGATGATGAAGGAGACTTTGGCATCACATGTCGCGCGGCTTCGTATTTTTGACGTTGTTGCGTCTGATAAATTTGTTTTCAGTTTCGGCTGCGCCATCAATGCGTTTCGGTACAAGTAAACTATCAGAATATTTAACATTTGGTTGAAATGAAATAATAAGTAGACTATCCATGATGACTGATTTATGAACAATACATTATAGGCTAGCTAGGACATTGTTGTCAAAATATCACGGTACCGAAACCGGTATCAGTTTTTCTAAATGCATAAATGGGTCACGCATGTCAGCATGTGATGTACCAGCAATTCAGCATACGGTATGGCTGTATGGTAACGAAACCATTGTACTATTCAATTCAAGAGTCTTGCTGCACACGAACACAAATATATTTCTGTAACGTTTCGTCTGACCGAGGTTAGACTTCTTCAGACAAGCATTTTACAACTTACAGACTTAGGTACCGTACAATAGTCGTAAAATGCTTGTCTGACAGTCTGAAGAAGTCTGACCTCGGTCAGACGAAACGTTACAGAAATATCTTTGTGTTCATGTGCAGCAAGACTCTTGAATTGAATAGAATAGCCATTTACACTCTTGCTACAGCATCCTTGCGTAATACGCATACGGATCCACCTGCGCAAAGGCATAGAGAGCAAGGAAAGGTACCGGTAGTTAGTTTCACGCAACCTCAACTGTTAGAAACCATTGTACAGTACAGATATACCCGTAACGTCAGAACGTACCACAGTACCAACTGACCTATTGCTGTATTGTAGTACCGGTATTGTGCAGTACGGTACCGTACCCTACCGGGCAAGATTCTGATATTACACCTATGAAAATATCAGTACTGCAGTACAGAAGTATGATACAGCACTGTCATACTGTTGCATAAATCAGTACCGTACAGTTCATTCACGTATTAAACATGCACTAGCAATGATTTTCACATTACAGCATTATGGATTGTATAAATTTTTCCAAAAAAATTTGCTATTTTAAAAGTGAAAAATATGCTCATTGTTCAACTGGTCACACTTAACCTCGGATAGAACGTTTAGCATTTCAGAACTTTGAACATCTATCTGCGTTGAGACTTCAAAATTGACCTCATTCAGTCATACTCTGCAGTCAGGCAGTGTGCAGAAGAATTTGATGCATCTCGAGTCATACTCTCAGCTCTATATTGTAGTTAAATATGATCGTCATAACGATGCTAGTAAACATTTTGATGAATGAATTTTTTATATCATGAATCTTTTATGGGAATTTTATAGAAATTATAACCTAGTGACAGCAATATTAACAAAAATAAATAACTGGCTAGGGATATAAATCAAATAAGTACAAAGCACCCCATTTTCAACCACAGAGAGTGTACAACTTGCACTCTAGCTTTCGTATGGCTGGAATTTTTATAGTGTGTGCATACATATTTATAACAATAACTGAATAATAATTTTTGTCTAAACAATATTAGTAAGCTACACCGAATACAAGGTTATTTTTCTGTAATATCTCCCTGGTTGGAAAACGCTGCTGTAACAGCTATGCATTTTTATCAAGTTGCTATTATTGCGAGAGGCAGCATGAACTAATTACACATTTGGTACAATTTTGGATGTACTCGCCAGTTTGCAAAAAATCTTGATTTGAAATTTTCCTCATTGGCTATTTTTTGAAATTTTTTCTTATTGGCTAAACCTTTTCGTAATTTATCCAAGTTTACCTAAAATGGAATTTTTAAATTGCAATTTGTTAGTGATTACGTTAGTATGGAATTCTCAAGTTTACGCTGTAAATAATAACCAATTTGTCCGTAATATATTGTTTTGAAATTAGTTATAACATACTTTGTTTTTAGGTTATTTACCTTATTGCCAAATCAGGCTTTCTAAATTTGAAAGTGACCAATAATTGCTATTCTAAAATAGCCTTATCAAATTTATTGTCCAAAATTTTTTTGATGATTCAAAGCAAAGAAAACTAGGAAGGTTTGAAATCAACCTGAAATGAAAATTCTGGAATCTGGTTCTTAAAAGAAGTACATCGGATCAATTTTCATCTTTTTAATTGCGGAAAATGTATATACACTGTTTCGTGAAATAGTGAAATAACATTTTTCATGAAGCGATTTTATGCAACCAAGTGTTGAATCAAGCTTTGTATTTATGATAATTTCATGTCAATGCTGGAACTGATACGAGAACTAATTGTTCATCGATAAATTCTCAAATCCAAAATGTCTGGAGCAAGCAAAGGTAGAAAGTCAAAGAATGTGAGGTGAGTTTGCCCTCGCTTTTATATATGCTTTTTTTCTAATTTTAAATAAATTTATCAGTTATTAAATTATTTTTGCACCCTAACACAAATATATTTCTGTAACAGTTCTCGTTAGAGATGCCCTGAACATTTCCTATATTTGTCATATAGACTTAAATTTACTTTTGTGAAATGATAGCCCAATAAATATTTAAATATTCCCAGTGTTTTATAGTAGGATATTTTCTTTCATACTACAACATTATTACCATGTCGCACACTTTTTAATAACACTGTTACATTTATTGTCTCAACCTTTTACGTTTGTCGCATTTCTTTATTACTTCCTGCAGTTCCATTTGTTTTTATATCAATCATTACAAAACTGATCGATGTAACTCTGTTCTCTTGCTGTTCAAGTCAGATTTCTAGATACAATATACTTTCGTGAGATGTTTGAAACATAACCCAAAATAGGCAAGGAAATTTTTTCGGTTAAAGTAGGGAATATTTATCATTATTTTTTTTTCAGGCCGGGGTCGAAGAAGAATTCTAGCCAGAATCAAAGTCCGGTATGCAAATAATCTAAATGAATATAATTTACTGAATTATCCTAAATATTTTCTAAACTTTTCATTTCCATATTGATCTTTTTAAAAATTTCTGACACTTCTATATTAGCTTCATATAGAAACTCAACTTGGTTTTCCGAAAGAAACTGAAATTCTGACAAACTCAGTTCTAATGAAAATGATATTTCAGCAATAGGGGAATCAAACTACTATTTGAATATTATTCTTACATGTGCCAATGCAATGTATTATGAGGAATAAACCCAAATCAAATAGAACATATGCCATGCAGTGCATATCATCAAAGCAATTTTTCATCGATATACCTAATTGGTTATATTTGAAGGATTTGTATTTTCAAAATTCACACTTTCAAATAAATATTGAGATTGTAAAATGGTTATTCCTCCTATTATTTTTAAAATAAATTCGTCTTTTAAACCCAATCTGTGACATTTATTAATTTGCTTTGTGAGAAATTCATTATTCCTATTTTGACTATTCCATTTTTCAGCCATATGAAGGAGCATATGGAAATGCACGTCTGGTTCATGTTCTTCTGTCTCTCGTGGTAGGTAAACATAATGAATCATAGTTCCTAGAACCTTGGTTTCAGATTGATATCTGGTCATACTTAATCAATCATGATTATGTGTTGAGTAAGCATTGTAATATTAGTTTAAAAAATTAGTTTAATTCTCCTTTGTGTTTCATTCCAGGGAAAGAAATGCCAGGCTAAAGTAAAAAATGGTGGTTCCTATGAAGGGGTTTTCCATACTTTTAACCCAAAGGTAATAATAGCTTTTCTATATTTAGGAATATAATGTGTCTTTATTAGTAATACATTCAGGGTAGCTAATCAGATTTGGAAATTATAGAATAAATTTAAATACAGAATGAAAGATGAGTAAATTATGGATACCTATTTCCTTAAAAAGCAGTAAAATATTTTATGTCGATATTGTACTTGTTTGCTTCGCTGTGCTTCGTACACTATTATTATAAATAGAACCATAATTAGAATAATCTAAGTTTTGTCTATAGTCCAACTATCATGTGGTGAAGGAGAAACAACCACATCAAGTCAAAAGCTCGTAAAAATCACTTGAGTGAATTAGTGCAATTTTGGTTATTTTGCTTCGTGGCAAATTCTATGTAAAATTAGCTATAATATATATGTTTTGATCATTATCATTTATAACATCATGAAAGGTTAGAAATTGAAATATAGTATAGAAACATTGCTTCAAAAAGGTTTGGTGTCATCAGTTTTGTTGCACCATACATGTTTTACTTTGCCCATACTCAGCGAAGTGTTAAGATATCCATAGTCTATCTTTATATTGTGTTTATCTGTATTTTTATTGTCATGAATATATATTTGATGTATCAGTGATTCTCAAAGTGAGAGATACTGCCCCTTGAAAGAGGCGAAAGAGACCCTACAAAAAACCACTGGGATTGAGAGGAAGTAGTTCACTTTTAGAAAGCTTTGAAAAATTACAAAACAAAAATTGATAAAAGATAGGCATGATATATTTTGGCACAAGTCATCCACTCGTGTAGAACGTGGATTATTTCATTTATTTGGTAGCAAATATTGCAGATGATGGATGTATAGAGTGATTAGGGGGATATGGTAAATAAAAGTTTGTGAAGCATTGGTGTAGATTAACAATAAACTTTTTAGAATGATTGAAAACTTTCATTATGTCTGTGGACACATCCTATGGAAGCAACAAGCAAGACATTATAATATATGATCAAACACTAATATTGGAAATTGGAAATACTTATTTACAGATGGATGTTGCACTCAATGTAGTACATAAATGTGATAAAATGTTGAATCACAATCCAACAACAAATGGTATTGATTCTAATGAGGGCAATGATTGTCCAAAAGAAGAAGAATTGATTGAGGAAATGCTATTTCCATCTGAAAGTCTCGTGTCTGCAAGTTTTGAAGATGTCGATATGTCTTTTGCTACACTTGGTAATTTTTTTTCTTTTCAATCATTTAATTTATTTAAGGATGTAACACCAGGATAGTCAAGAGAGAACTTCTCTTTATTTATATTCAAACTATTGATTAGCAGGTAGTCGGTTTGGTACTACTGTAGTATGTGTACCAGGTTAGGATTAGGCCGCAATTTTACTCCTATTACCCTTATTTTAGTTCTATTACGAATTCGGAGACTGTGTTAGCCAAGTGAACATATAGCCCATAGTCTTCCATCCCTTTACACAACTTGATGCAAAGTGGGCGAAAAAAATTAGCTCCCTCCATATTGGTACACACACTTCTGGAGCGCTGTCAGTTTTTTAACCATTGTCGTCTAAAATGGATTGAATATTAAAATTAATTTGAAATTCGTTATATTACAAGGTAATAATAATAGAAATGCAGCTTCTGTTTCTAATTTGGTTCAAAACTATTTATAATATTTGAATACATTTTCGATCAAATGAATTATTAAATAGTCAAGAACCCAATTAGGTTCTGCTTGATAGACTACTCTTGAGATAAGTTATGGATATATTCTTTTAAATAGGAAATATTGAATATATTTTAATAAAGTAAGATCATGCTATTGAAAGAGTGTTCATGAATCCTCTGTTTATTCCTACAGAAAAGTGATAAAGTTGTTCTGACTGGTTCATTTTTTCAATAGCTTTCATTGCTTAAATTAGGGACTCTTTGAATCTGAATCCAAAATACTTTGTATAGACAATTCTTAGTTGGTAAACTTGAGGGTTGTTAACATTGCTTAGCTAAAAAGTATTTTGAAACTTTTACTTGCTTCACCTCAACAGAAGTCAACGAAACAAATGGAGAATCGTCAAGCCTACAACGGTCTAATTTCAAAAGTGGTGAGAAAAAATTAGAGCCATGGAATGGAGGTGGCGACACAGACCCTCTAACAATTGGGGGATTAGAAGGGGGTTTGGGTAGTGATGGCACCAACGGCTGGGGTGCTGATGAGATGTTTAGAGCAAATGAAGAAAAATATGGAGTCAAGTCTGACTATGACTCATCACTTTCTAATTATACGTAAGCAAATATTACATACATACAACCAATGTTCCCTCTAATTTTTTGTAGTATGTGTGCACAGAAATTTTGTTGTGTGCGCATTTTTTTGGGAAATGACTCATAATTGTGCAAAAACCAATGAAGAAATTGTGGCGTTCTAACCGGGTAATGGGTGGGCCAACAACAAACTTTCTCAACCTGCCAACCGAGAACATTGTTACATTACATCGAAATACGTCTGTGCGCAGTAAATCTATGCGTGTGCGCAGCCTCTGAAAACTGTGTCCTCGTGCACATGTGCACACTTTAGAGGGAACACTGCATACAACCGTTTTTATTTTGTTTACATTTCATGAAATTTGTTTGTAAAATACTCCAAATATGAAAGCTTGTATTGATAATGATATGTTTCCATTTGTATATTGTAATTTAAATGGACCATGCTTTGGTAAAAAATTTTCTTTATACAAAACATAACTTTAGAATGCAATTGGATATGAAAGAAACAAATGAAGATTCCATTGCAAGAGCAACAAGACTTGCCCAAGAAATAGAATCTGGCAGTGATTATAAACGTAGAATTGATCTTGAACTTGATGATGGAAGAACAGAAGAAGATAAATTCAGTGCAGTTCGAGACAGGTATGTCTTCCAGTTAAGTTTTACTGGCTTTTTGGGATGGGAATTCAAAATTCTCTACTGTTTACCTCGCTTATAAACAACCTATGCAACCATCAAGTGAATTAATAGTTGTTTTTTTCTACCATGAGTTATTAGGAGTTTCTTCTTCAAACTTTTTTCATTACGGCTCGCTTTGCATGGTCAAATTTTTTTGCCACTTCCAGGAACTAGATTGAAAATAAAGTGAAGTTCAATAATACAGGAAATATTTAAAAAAAATAATAATATAATAGACAATACTTTAGAAAAGACCGATGTGCTTGCTTATTCTTGCACTGAAGGTCTAATCTTGGTTCTAGTTTTGTAATGGTGGATCACAGTACTGGTTTAATATCTTTCAAATTTAATCGATATATATTTTTTTAAACTAAGTTACTGTCAGAAACGATTTTACCATGATCCCACTTGGGCCCTTTTGCGTCCTACCAGAGGGCCGGGACCTCCACAAGTATTAACACTACTCTTGTTCTATTCTCTTGTAGCCGAAAAGATAGAGGATCTCGTGAAATGAGAGATAGAGATCGCCGAGATATGAGAGATATTGGTGAGGGGGGATATCATGATAAAGATAGAGGGTAAGTTGCTTTAATGAGACTGTTTTGGGGGTGCTAATGATTTTGAATGCCCCACAACTTGCCGATAGCAGGATATTCAAGCAACTTTCAGTCTAGTTTTTCTCAACATGTGTTATGTTAAACTTGTATGTAGTTAAAAATCTACAATTTCAAGCCTTTTTATTCTTGAATTTAGAAAGCTATGTAAAACCACTTTATGATCCATCGATTTGTGCTTTTTTTTACAGTATTGCATAAAATTATTGTTTTTTTTAGGCTCTGCTTTGCAGTAGTTTTTGATGTCTGAGTAGTTCTAGTTCTAAATTTGTAAATTCTAGAATTCTCTTTGTTAGTTATTCAAGTTTCAAAATATTTTGGAAACCTTTGATATTTTTGTCAGTGGAAATTCCAATTTCAAAATATGCTTTTTTCAGCATCAGTGTATTTTATGTTATACCTATCTATTTAGAGAATTTCTACTGTTATCCCTGCTAATACTTTGGTATTTTTACCTACTGTTAATTGCTGTATCATATTGTATTGAATGAATAAGTAGCAATGTCATGGTGTTGTTATCCACACAAATTCTGCATTTTCATTCTAGTGACCGCGAACGAGACAGAGACCGTGATCATCTGACATCTCCCCAGGGATATCGCAAACATGATTATGAAAGGTGAGAGTGTTTTTGCATAATATGCTCGACTGCTCTTTGTCTCACGAATAACCTTCAACAGTTCATTGCATTTGATTGCAATTATCTTTACCAAGTACTATAAGTACAATGAAAAACAGTATCAATATTGTGTTTGATATTATTCATATTAGATTGGTAAAGGAAAATATTACACAAAATGTATTACATTTTCACTGCAGATATATTCAATGATAACTATCTAAACGCAAAATTGAGTAAGATGCCTGGACAAGTGTGTTTGACTAACAGATATCGGAATATAAATTGTGTAATTTTTTTTACATCATTTTTTCATAAACATACTTGGAATATTGTATTATGTTATTATATATGATTTTTTGACTATAAAAATATGTTATTCAATTTTAAATATTACATTTTGCACAAGGGGTGGTGACAGAGTCATTTATACGTAGTGAAATAACATCTTAAGTCTTACTTTATATAAGTAATCATGGTTATAATTTTGTTTTGAGGTCCCATATACCAGGACGCAACAGGGGTCGTGGTCGAGACAGTTGGGACAAAAGGAACCAGCAAGGCTTCACTGGCTCCAATATGGGACCTCATCGATCAATGGGCGGACCAGGTGGACAATCTGGTGGAGGTGGTCGAAATCAACCACCAATGTCACCCATGGACGGTCCACCTGGACAAGGAGGTTCACAAGGCAAATACCGTGGTTCCTCGTCCGGACAAACTCATCTGCCTCCAAGGTATAATTTCCTGGGAAAAAAATTTAGTTTTTTTTAGCATTTTGGTCATGCATTTACTAATTTATAGGTTGAGAATTATAAATTGGGCTAGTTTTTAGATGTGCCAGTTTTCTTGTTTTTTGATATATAATTGTAATGCATGTTTTCCAGTATTATCTGGATTGTGAATTCGAGGTTTTTATGACAGAATGGCGAATATTGTGATTTCGGAAATGTTTTTTTGCCAATATGTGCTTATTTAATTGTTTCTAATATTAATTTGAAGCAATATTCATATTCAATGTATATTCCAATAAAAAGTTACAGAAGTTTAAAATTCAAAAATATATTTTTATTCATTTTTTTGAAAGCATCATTTTCCAGTTTTGTTCTTTAAGGTTTAAGCCTTCAAATCATTGTTTGTCTATAATTTAAGATTGCAATTGTTTTTCAAGATTTACAAAGACTGGTAGTGGAGGACATTCAAGAGAAGAAGAGAGAATGAGACAAAATGATAACAATGGTGATTTTTTTAATGCGTATACACGTACATTTTTTTTGAAAACTAGACCAATTGACGACATACTATTTATCTTCATATAATTTCAGCAATGCACTCTCCATACCAACCACCAAAAGGTCAAAGACAACCTCGTATGCAGAGATCAAACATGGGGCGTCAACCAGCATGGGGAGGACCCACATCCCCACCAGCAGATTATCCACACCACAGCCCAACACAATGGTATTCTGTCTATTTTCATTTGGGATAAGTGGGATGGGATTTGAGATTACTAATTGTATGAACTTTAAGATATTTCACAATGACTACTCATTTAGTCCATCATCGGCCAATATGAAATTGAATTGAATATCGGTTGGCAGGGATAGGAAAACTACAGATAACGAGTGCGCCCTCCCTGCGATAATTGTGGCAAATTCATACAACTGCACACAAAATTTTAATTTATTCCTAATCATGATCATCATTTGAGATATTAAAACTATGAATTAAAAAATATTAATATTTTTCCTTCAACTGCAGTTTAACAATGTTAGCTACCATAAAATTCGACACTATCATAGTGAATGGAACTATTAACCGTGATGTCACAGTCAATTGTCAATGCGGTCTGAGTGTGCGCTTGCAAAAAAAACTTTGCCAACCAATGGGTTAGCGCATAATGCCAGTATAAATCATTATCAATGTGCCTTTTCATGTATTCTAAAAGTTTTTCTTTGAAATTTTCCAGCACCAGGATCCTGCAGTTATATCGTCTGGGCCCTCATCTGGAGTAGGTGGACCTCCATTGAGTAGATCATCATCAAACTCTTCTAATACTTCGACACCAGTACAAAATCATCGTAAACATCTGTCAACGTCGAGTCAGGAGGAACAGCCAACACCCCAACATCCCCCAACACAGCAACACCACCAACACCTTCGACAAATCTCATCTTCATCTTCTCCAACAGGTGGTCCGCTAGTGAATAATCAACAACAACAACAATCAGCCAGACCACCACCACAAGGAATGCCTCCTACAGCTATACCTGGGACAGGTAGGTGGTTTCAAAAATTGTATAGAATTATGTGATTCGTTTTGGTTGATTTAACTTAGGGTAGTCGTAGCGTTATATATAACAGTGTTCTTCAAATTTTTTACATCATGACCCCCAGGAACTAAAAAAAATAAGGTGAAATTCAATAATACAGTACAAATTTCGGAAAAGTGATAAAAATAGACAATGAGACCGATGATTTTGCATATTCTCGTACAAAAGATTGAATCTTTGCTCTATTTCGGTATATGGATATCATTACCAGTTCCAAATCGTTTAAATCTGATCGATATTTTGTTCTAACATTAGTGCTGAAAAATATTTACAGCGACTCTCATTGAGTCCTTTTGCGACCAATCGGGGGGTCTGGACCCCCAGTTTGAAGAGTTCGATATATAGCATATGTTTGAACTAAACTAAACGCTAAACTCAACAATATGTTTGACTGTTTAATTCCAGTATCCAAGCCCAACGTATATACAGCTATAATTAAAATTTCATAATATTAGTTTAGTAGTTTTTGTGACGAATAACAGATGTGGGTGCGATAGTCTACTGGTTAAAGCGTTAGACTTGCATCGTAGATTACACATTGCCGGTTCAAATCTCATGCCCACCACATCACCCAAAGTGTAATAAGGTGGGTAGGCAATGCCGAACCACCGGAATGATTCCGGTCGTTCCAAAAATAGTAGCTCTTAGATATGAGAAGACGCGTGTACAGGGCCTTGCTCAGAGCAAAAGTACTACTGTCTTGTGGCAGTCTGTGGCAGGTTTAGATTTGGTTGTGAAAATTTTAGTTTTTTTTCAGTTGTATCGAAAGAGAATTAGGTGCTGAACAACATAATATTACAATCATAAAGTAGAAAAAGATAAAGATATAATTAGAATGAAATAGTGAAAATGAACATCTCAGGAATTACATTAAGCATTCAGTCTTTTCGAGACATACATAGCTCATCCAAATCTTTTTTTTTTCAAGATATTTGATTCTCTTTATATATTGACAGTACTTTCTCCAACGATTTTAAAGCAAAAAATTATCTCTGCTGACTTCTGCCCTAAAATATTAAAGCGTCAGGTTAAACCTAATAAAGATGGAGTAGAGTCACCAGAAAAAGTATTAAAGAGGCCTACAGAACTATCGTCACCAAAACAACATGTATTGAAGACAGTTAAGAATATAGTAAATGAAAGTTCAACAAGAGTTGAGAAAACAGAGGAAAAATCTACGACAAACAATGTGCAATTGCTTAAACCAGTAATTTCGAAAAACGTAAACCGCGCCAAAAGAGACTTAAAATTCAACGAAATGTCACCTTCAAAATCAAGCAGAGAGATTGTACATGAACAGCCTGCATTACTTGAGTCTAATTTAGTAGAACCCATAGACAATACTCAAGAAGAATATCTTAATCACCGAGAAAGTTTACATCGTCCAGTGTTTTACACTACTAACCCAAAACAGCTTCAGCGTGTCAGATTAACAATTGGTAATCAGTGTATGAGACATCAGCCAATCTACCATCATCAGCATCATACACCAGGTCTGCAGTATATTATAATTCATAATCAAACAGGAGTGTTACATGATGGTACACCGATTCTGCCAGTGATTGGGCACCATGTACAAGAATCAAGTGAGTTTAGTTATTTGTTAATAGTTTGGAGTTGAAGTCCCTAAACCCCTAGTCAGGTCATGGGTCATCTAAATTTGAGTTCAAAGAGTAAATCACTTAGTTCAAATCTCACTGGCGGATAGCCGAATACAAGCCAATTTTCTTGCCAGTAATTGGCCTTCATGTATTGGTCATCAAGCATCGAGCGAGTTTAATTAATTGCAGTGGGTAGATTCCCTCAACTCCGATTCTCAAGAAATGGGTCATCTGAGTCCCAAAGTGGAGTCAATCACTGAATTAAGTCTCACTGGCATTTAGTTGACTCGTTTTACTCAGATGAGTTGATTCAATCACTCAAGCCTCCTAAACACTGGTTAATGGTAACATGAAACTTGTTTTATGAGTGGTTAGGTAATAAATTCCTACTGTGCTTGTAGGTATTAGTAGCAGAGAGGACATAGGTCTATTGTTCAGCGATTGGTGCATCATGCTAAGCGTTGGAAATCTGGCTGCCTTTGCAGCTCTGATTACCCTGTGCGCATTTAAAGGTGGTTAAATATGTACAAGAGGAATGCTGGGCACCTTGTCATCGTAGTGTGGTTGACATACCCACCGGCCAGTTATGGCTTCCTCCACAAGCAAGTCCCATGCGTTTGAAACAATTATCTGCTTAAGTATTTCTGGACCAGACGATTTTGTTTGATTAAGTTGTCTTATTAGCTTTCTTCTCTGTCGTGATAAAAACGATTTTATTCCTATTCTATGGGATAATGCATTGACTATTGCTTCATACTTATTTTTCATTGTTTAGATGGTGGGGTTCCTGGACATTCATGGGCATCGATAGCCAGCAGGAATCCTGCAAAACAACAAATGGGCCATGGTATGTCCGAGATGGACTTTCACATATGGCCAGGGTCATCCTCTGGTATTCCGCAACAATCTCCCTCGGTCAAGGTTTGTTCTTGTTTTGATAAAATTTGAAATTATGTTGTACTCAGGGGCGGACACTTTCCATATTTGGGGGGGGCGAACTTGGATCGCCTACCGACCGAACCTGTCGATGTCATTCTCTAAGTATTAGAATGTCATTTGCTCCTTGTGTGACGAGTACCTAGGATGCTTTGCTCAGACACGGAACTTGCCAATGCAGTCCGCAACAAGCACCGCGCTCGTTAAAATAGCCGCCTATTTAAGCGTATAATGATTTTTCTGTCGCATAAAAATTCAATTCATGACAGCCACGAGATTCTAAAAATGTCCTTATATATTTAATTTAATTGTGTGCAACGTAACTCGCGATTGCGACTTCTTACGTCAAAAAAAAGGTGATGGTAAAACTGGCCCTTTTATATATTGTTTTTGATCCGTATTTTTGCTACTTTGCGAATTCGATAAATTTGAGATGTACTTGTAACACTGGCTCTGCCCAATCGCAATGATGTCACTCCGATTATTTCTTAAAGATAAACTTTTTCGAAAAATTCGTAAATTTCTGTCAATTCTCACAGTAAAAGTTATTTCAGTCGATAAAAACCTAAATAAATACCAACAATTGATCGAAATATACTTTAATTATCTTATATATTCGGGGAAAAAGTCGCGTTTGCAGCTTTGTTATTGTTAACACGAAATTTTCGACATCAATTTAAAAGTATGGATAAAAGGCAAATCCTGCTCACATCCGACCGTGTTTTAGATTTTAGTGATGATGTTTTTAAAGGTCAAGCAACGTAATTTGTGCCGTAGGCAACACGAAATTTTGCGATTTTCGAAAGCCCAGAAAAGCGTTTTAGACTGTCACGGGCCTCAACAAAACTTATATTGTTTACAGTTTTATTTTTAGTATTTTATATTGTCGCTTTTCAACTCATGGATACTTATTAGAATTCTCGCCGGGTTCATAAGCCGTGCTTGTACGAAAATAAAATAATTATCATAGTCATCGTGTCCACAATTTGTGGAAAACTTGTGATTAGAGAGAATAAAAGCCAACGTAAAGGTTTTACGACCTAAATAATAGATCACAATGATGAAAACAATCTGCGATTTTAGCAAAAGGCAATTACACGCGTTATTGAGCGACTTTTTCAGTTTTCAAAAAAAATTCAGAAGGAGGTGGGGGAGTAATCTTTTTTAGATAGTTTCTGTGTCTGAAAAGTCGAATAGGCCTTCGAGACGTAGTAATGCTTGATCTTTGCCCGCAAATTATGCTTGACCTTGCCGACGAAATCCATGAACGTGAAAAATTGAAGACCAGCGGTGAAAATTGTTTATAACAACTTTAGATCCAGTTAATTTTTTAGCGATAATAATTAATTGTTGTAATGAAATACAGTTTGCCTCTTTACTTCTCTCAGCAAGTGCCAACAATAACACTATTGAAAGATTTTGACACTGAGAAAACCATATTAAATTGTACAAAAATGAATTAGTTGTGCAAAACCGTGTCGCGTGATCGGCGGTGCGTTTGAACAAGGAGTATTACTCATTCGGGCGCGCATGTTTCACGAAAATGTGAGGTGCGCGCTTTGGTCCACATTATTGTAAGAAAACAGGTATAATATCGGTAACTATTAACCGTTTAATTGCGCTTGACTATTGCACTTTTCGAAAATGATAATTTTGTAAGGCGGAAACGAAGGGGAATTGCCCCCCCCTCCTTCCCCCACGGGTGTCCGCCCCTGGTTGCACTACTGAAAGGATGAATCTTTTTCAGGCTAATTTAATATCGGTAGAATTTCATCACCATGTTTTTCGTTTTAACAGAATGCCAGGTATTGTCAGTGTTAGATCGAATGCAACATATACTTATACACCAAGAGGTAAGACTTTTAATGCTTATTTTGAAGTGTTTTTGCAAATTGGAACGTTTGGAAATTATAACTAAAGTTGCGAGCTAAACCAAGAAAAATAAGCTAATGTTTACTTACAATTATGCCTTAAAATCTGTCGCTTGTGCGTAAAAACTTTGTTGAGAATTTGTGAAGATATTGATTGTTATGTCACATTTGACACATTTCTGATTAACAATGTTATGACTAATTAGGGAAACGTCCATTATTTAAATGATTGATTTTCTTTAGGTGGAACACCACCAACTTCTAAAGTATGCCTACTCCCTATCCTCCGAGTGAACACAGTCAATGAATCAACAGATGCCCAACATGGGAAGCCCAAGGGTCCACCCTAACACTCAGCAATGCATCCGATGGGTGCTGACCATATGCCCGGACCCGGACAAATGATACCACGGGGGCCGCCACCACAACAAATGGTCCCAAGTCCGCCACAGCAGCAAGCCATACAGCAAATGCCCACTATGCAGGGGCAACATGGTCCAAGACCATCTCAACCTCAAGCTATGAAAACTTCAATTTCCCCGAGAATGCTCAGAAACATTCTGAAAAAGCAGAAAGTAGGATTTATATTTTATAAGTTTGATGCTAGATCTAGCATGTTTGCTCAATTTGTGTATAATCTGCAGAAAATCGACTTCGTTATGCTATTTGGATTTCCAAAATTCCTCTTCTTAAAAATATACTCTTGTCGCTAGAAGGTTTTTGCTTTTATTTATTTCAAAATGTTCTGTGTTTTCTATGGGATTTATTTTTTGTGTCCAATGACTTCATCAAAATTAAGAATGGGCAACTTGTGGCGTTCTCATTTGTTGTTATCTTGTGATCAGAAGTCCTAAAAACTGCGGTACCGGTAGTACTGTGAAAGATTGTATACCTTTACTACTTCATTTTGGCCTTCGTGTCCTTAATATGCACATTCATCTTCTTGTTTCCTATTAAGGAATGCAAGGGGCTTTGCAGGTTTTTGTGATTGAATTTAGATTATTTGACACTAGTTCCCACTCCATGCAAGGAAATTGGTTTTCAAATCCTGTGTTTTTGACTCATTCTGTGTTTTGGTTTTTTGGCCATATTTGCCATATTACTCACTGGCATTCCATGAGTACAGAAATAACCTGCATGCCCTCTTCAGTTGTTCACGTTCAAATAAAAGTAATTTTTGACTTGCATGGTCCATTCATTCATTTTGCTTCATTTTAGTGATGAAGAAACCAGCTGAACAGCCACAAACACAACCAACAGGAGGAAAAATAAGTCAGCTGAAGGATTTTGCAGAGAAGTTCAAGGTATCGTAGTGTAATACTGAAACAAACTTCAGAATTGGTTCCTTTCCTCAGATGACCTATCATGCCTTACTTAGGGTGTTTCCTAAGATAGATACATCCTGGACGTTTATATCGCTTGGACGTTCATATCGAAGTAGCATGGTTTTTTTTTTTTGTAGTAGTAGTCAACTTTGCAATTGTTTATCATCTTAATGCAGTGGTTTTCAACCATTTTGGAAGCGTATATTTAAACAATGTACGTGTATTAATAGATGAATTACACTAAAAACATCAATAATTGAAAATTTTGTTTTACACTTTCAATATGTCTTTCATAGTCATTTGTGAATTCTTTTCGTTAGCTTCCGACTGATGTAAAGAAGGAATCGACAAATCAATCATCTGTTGCTACAACACAATCTTGAACAAAGTCCCACAGCAGCAACAACAACAAACAAAGACCGCCACCCCAATATGGGTCAAACCACCTCCTCAAACAATGAATCGACCACAACCATATCCTAATCCCGCACACACAGCAGCAAACACCCCTATCCATCACCTCAGCAACAGCATCCTCAGCAATCTATGTTGGACCGAATGGGTCCGCAGGATCATGGTGCCGCTATGCAGCATGGCATGCCTCAAAACGCAGGCCCCGTGCCTGGAAACGTGATGTTGCAACAACCAAAAACATCAAACGCATCCAGGTTGTAGTAAATCAAATGCATTCTCATCCTCAACAAATGAGTCATGTACAGATTCCAGTGGCTGCTCCCAGCATTCAACAGTTCTCTGCACCAGTGCCTTCACCCAGCATCCCGCAATGCAACCGATGTCTCGTCCGATGGACAGCTCGAAAATGATGCCAAATAGAATGATGCAGCCGGTTGACAAAAACATTCCACCGGTGCAGCAGAAACCACTGACTTCTGCCAAAGTGGAAGTTTCGAACTTTCAACATAATGCTAATATTCATGTTGTTACTGGTCCGCCTGTTTCTCAGGCAAATCCATCTGCGGTTATTACAGTAAGTGCCGCCAATTCGTCCCCCATTGTATCTTCCCATTATCAAGATCCTGCAATACCTACGACTCAAATTGCTCAACCACAAAGGCAATCACCTACAGCAGCCCAAGGTTGGTATTTTTTGTTGCTTTTTTTGGACGAGGGATGGCCTGGCGGTTATCATATCTAATTCAAATCTCATGACTCCCATATCAACCTCGAAAGAGGACTATTTTTATGTTTGTGTTTCTAATATATTTTGTACCTGCGTTCTTTTTTTTTAGTGGGTCAACCGTCATCAATCGCCAACAATTAGAACCAAGTACAACCCCTGTACCTAGTTCTCAACATTCTGCAAACACGTCTATCACATCACCCACAGCGGGAATGTAAGTTTATTTATTTAAATTGTGGTAGAAAAAAGAGTGATTGCCATTAACAATGCATGACTAATTATATAGTTTGCAATTATGGCAAATTTCAATTAAAAATTTCTCTTTTTAAACTTAGTAATTGATGTGCTACTTCAGATAAAAGTACATAAATTATTATGAAAGATGGTATATTTCAAACATTTTGTAAGTTAAAATAACTGATTTATTTCGACTTTTGCCCAGTTAGCAGTTAGATATTAATTTATTCATGTATACTTGTTTTGTAATTTCGTTATTTTATTCTTCTAAGAATAGGCTGGAAATCCAAAATTGAACTGAAATAATGACTGTTTTTATGTTTAAAAACCTTATCATCTGTAGATTTTATATTGGTTTTTTACTTCATTTTAGTAAAGCCCTCAACCCAGAGGCACAAGAATTCAAACCAAGAACACCTGCGGTGAGAAATTCATTTTCAGCATTTAATGTAAAATATAAACGAATATTAGAAAACGTCCGAAGAATTTCTACTCAAATGATTTTTTCAACTTTTTCATTTTATGATTTAAAGCAGCGTTTCTCAAACTGTGCGCGTGCCGCAAGACATTCTCAGGTGTGCCGCAGAGCTTTTTGGAAGTTAAAAAAATAAGTTATTTGTATAACATATAGGCATGCATCAATAGGCCAAGACTTGAGTATCCAGCAGTATTAGACTGGTAACATTATTGTATTTGCCTTATTGCTGTAGTAAGGGTGATTGTCACATCATAATTGTATTGTTATGCAATAATTTATTTATATAGACGCCATCTTCCGCTATGTTGACTTGCGCGCTTAGTTAGGCTAACAGTAAAGCAAATTGGACGAGTCTATCTGCTTACAAATTCTATTTACCGGTAATCATCGGTGCAAAATCCATAAAAATAATCTAGCCATTTGCATCTTCATGACTCCGTGAAAATAGATTATCTGCTATGGCTGAAATTAGAAGCATAAAAAGGGAGCGATGGAACCTCATTTCAATTGTTTTTTAAAACAGGCACACACATCGTATTAACATTTGCAGAATAATTTGTTTAACTTAATTTTTTTACAAGTGTGCCGCTAATTTTTTTTCTTTTGCTTAGTGCGCCGCGAACAAAAAAAGTTTGAGAACCACTGATTTAAAGTAATGCTTTTAATTCAACTTTCTTTGTATTGCAAGACTAATAGTGAATAATGCCAAATTCAAACTTAAATATGGCATATCATTATTTTTTCGCAATTTAAAATTTTTTAAACAAATGAAAAAAGTTTTAGAATGCCACACAATGCGATCTATTAGTATGCTTTTTCTGGATCTGTAATCCATTGGATCCAATTATTATAATCAGTTTCCAATAAATTTGGTTAGCGTTTGTATAATATTGAATTAATGTGACTATATTATTATTATAGCTTATCTCATCTTTCATACATAACATGTAATAATAAACTCTGGCATTTCTTCATTATTTTTTCAGAAACCGTCGCCCATTGCTACAAGAGCAACAACACCACAAGCAGTATGTATTTTATTCTTTTGTTATTTAAAATGTGACAGCAAAATATGTATCATATTAAATATGTTATTTTGATGCAAAAATTTTGTCAACTGTTCATTCAAATTCTTAGCCTTCAGAGTGTCTATGTATATCAGACATAGTTGTTGTAGGGCATATTTGCTGATTAAGAATTCTCGATGTGCGGAGAACATTGTTGCTACAACGGTACAGTGACAGGTTGGCTGTGCAGCGCCTCGGTAGGAGACTGCATGAAGGATTTCGTGTAATGGGGAGATATGCTACTGCATAAAATTTTACATAAGCAAATTTCATCGGTTGAATTAAAAATAATTTTATTAAACCATTCTTTCTGAACTTTGAATTTTAAGTAGTAATATACTTATTGCCATATTAGATTTCCTGAATTTTTTTTCATCATTATTATTGTTTTACAGCAAATGCCAATATATGCTTTTGTTCAAGCACCCGTGGCAAGTGGTATGGGACCACAAACCCCCACCCAAATTGCAACACCAGTATACAACGCAGGTAAACAAACTCGATTTTAGAACATTCTTGATTCTTGTTAGTAGAACTGTTCATTAGCCTACGTAGGATAGATTTTAATATTTATACCGGGGAAGAGACTGCTCGATGGCATACCACGGCCTCTCATCTGGTTACCAGTCCATGTCCGGTTTGGGTTTAGCTAGCCAGGTATTTGTTTCAGATGTATGGACTTGATAGTGGAGGAAGACGTACGACCAGTAATACGAGCCTGTGCAGGGTAATCAGAAGTGTGATGACAAGCTTAGTTTCCAATGCTTAGCACGGCGCACTATATCTTGTATTTATATTGTATTAATTTGTTTTCTTATTTCATTTAAACTAGCTCCAATGCCTCCAATGCATGCAGATATGCAACAAATATATCACACCCAGTTCCCACAAGTAAGCATTTTCTTTGTTTCATTTTTTCAATTTATAGAATTCGTAAAGAAATTTTCATTCACCAAAACAATTTTCATATCCTATTTTAGCAATATATACCGGTACAAATGCCAGGACAACAATTTGCCTTTGATCAGAATGGTCAACCTGTATATGCTAGTCCAGCACCGCAGCAGGCAATGATGGCTCAAAATGCTAGAATGGCTGCTACAATACCTGGCACACCACAACAACATATTCAACAATATCAATCTGATCAAGGACCGGCACCTGTGTATGGTGAGTATTAGATGTTTCATTGTTATGACCTATGCTGCTATTAAAACAATGTATCTAGTTTTTTCTTAGGATTCAATTGAATCAAATTGGCGTCTGCGGAACTGACCAGATGTATAACAAGCCTTTATGTCAAGTTAACAATGTTTGAAACATTTGACACTTCTACTAGTTATTCTCAATCGATATCCTTTTGATATCTTTTACAGTACCTGTGGCTCCACAAGGATCAAACTTTATGCAGCAGAGACCCCATTCTGCACATACGCCAACTCAGGTAAGATAAGAATTAGTTGTTCATTGAACCTAATTTATCCACATAGATTATACCAGTAGTTTCCAACAACCCGAATTTTTAAAAAATAAATTGTAAAATCTTGCGACCCCCGGATATGCTCAAATACTAAACGGCATGTAGTTCATGGCCACAAAATTAATTGACTTGTATTAAACAATCATTTTTATGTGACATTTATTTTCCCAGAAATTTCCTCAAAATGAGGAAGCTGTGCTCATTTGCCATCAGCGAGTTCTTGATATAGCTTTAGGCCTACTTAAGCAAAAAAAACTGAATGCTGCGAAGCCTTTACTCAGTGATACTTCTGTAATATACAATTACTATTGAGCAAAACATTAATACCAAATATAAATTAATAAATCAAATTTACTACAAAGGATTTTATTGAGAAAAATAAGCGACCCATTATCTTGAATTTTTTTTTTTTTTGAGGTAATATCACAACTGTATTCCTGTAACAAATAGATTAACCCATTTCAAATCCTTATGCCTGTCAAGGGAAAAATTTAAATTAAAAGGATTCTACAAATTCTGTAGTTAATGTTGGTGACTTCTAAAAAAATATCTGCCTTTGCTTTTGCATAGGTTACACACGTCACAGCTTCAAGTCCTGCAACCCAATCCACACAGCAAACCCAGCAACCTACAGGTCATCCGGCTATGGTTCCCGCACATGGAGTTCAACAGGGGGGCGGACCAGTATGGATGCCAATTAACGCAAAGTATGTTTTAAAAATCACCATTACGGTGTTTGAGTCATTGGAGCATCTTCTTCAAACTATAGTTGAATTGAGTCTCTTTGAGTATATTGAGCATAAATGAATCTGGTCATAGTGCGAGTCAACTCTCAAGATGAGTGGCTTTTCCTGGCTTCCTGGTCATTTCATAAATTTTGAATGTTTTCCCTGAAATTTCCTTTCATTCAACTCAAAAAACAAGGCTTGAGAGTTAGTTGTGGGCCGCACACGACATTCCAGAATATTTGACCCCTTGTCAGGAAGCATTAAGTATTCTCATGCCAAATTACTCATGCACCTACTCAATGTAAATTTATACTGTGTTATTTTAAACCACATTGGGCCTAGTCTCATACAATACACCTAGCTATATGTATTATAGTGTTTGAATTCATATAAATGACTGAATTATAACGTTATGATACAAGTATAAAGTTACAGGTGATGTTATTTTCTAGTTCGAATATAATGATGGTGCCAAGCGGCCAACCTCAACCAATGCAAATGAATCAACCACCGCAACATACTCACTACTTGAGTGCTATGCCAACAGGACAGATTCCTTCATCAGTTGCAATGTCCAATCCTGTGCAACAGAAAGGACAACAACAACAAATCCCAGCTGGACACTATATGGCTCAAACCCCGCAGAGATCATGTAAGATTTTTTTTTCTAATATGTAATATATTGAGTCGCCTGCATAGTTTTTTTGCTTACCTATCATCATAGTCACAGAGCAACAAATCAGAACAAAAATCAGTTGGGTAAAAATAAGGGAGATACTTGGCAGATAATGAAAAAACATATAGTTACTAATAAAACTTAATATGCTAAATATGGAAGGAGACAAGGAAGCGTGTGGGATGGTTAAAGCAACAACACATTATATCGCCGCAGTAGTTATTTCACAATTTTCAGAAATTTACTTTTTGGATCGAGGCTATTTGTATGGTTTCAAAGTTGTGTCTGTTAAAGTTTTGATTTTAGGTATTGCCTTACGTCCATTGTTAGGTTTGGCTGTGAAGATCTGTAATTTACAAAAATGCAATTTGCCCAAAACCCCGAAATGTGACATAATACCTGTTGTGGCCATCATTATTATAGGAACTTTTGTGTAACAGAAATGCTTACGCCTTCACCTAATTGTCGAACTTTTAAATTAGGCTTCATTGAATTATATTTTTATTCTTCTTCAGATGGACAATATCAATCACCTTCTGCAAACAATCAGTGAACAAGAATATTTGAACATTGAATAAATTTTAAGGTCAACCATAAGTAGCAAATGGGGAACTTCTTAACGATAGATCTATGTCTATGTGTGTGTGTGTGTGTGTGTTTATTTACTTTAAACTTATTTACTATTTTTCGTCATTTTTTTTGTTTATTATTGGTGCTGTGATGGAACAATTACCTTGATATGGTTTTTCTTGAGTGCCCCGCCATCTCTACAGACTGTCTCTATGTCGAGTGAGCTGGCTGAACTTTTTTCATGATCGTACCACAGGGCTGATTTTACAAATTTAATCGCAACCAGCTGGTTGGCAATTACCAAATACTGGTCTATTTCGAATACATTCTAAATTCCTCCAATAAATTTTATTCACATTTCTAAAATTCAAGGACATAGGAATTGAGCTTCAATAATATTCTCATAGTGAATCATCTATAAATACAAATGGCATGTGTGATATCACTAAAATTAGTGCTTTTCTTGCTTCCAGGAAAAAAGAATTCGCAAACATTACAGTATTTATACTTATAAATTGTGACTTATCTTGGCAACCACAGAGAAAACATCAACTAAACGCCCAGTGAAATGTTTGAAATCCTACAGTATAATCAAAATCCTTAACAACACACACATATTTTGACACAGCTAATTTTTGTTATAAACTGTTTATTATCATGTGAGTATCATTTGGCCCATCGACATCGGAGGTTACTTGTTCCTAAGTGAAATGTAAAAAACTTTTCGTCTCATTCATACATATTTTTGCATTTGAGTAAGCAGTATGATAATGGGGCAAGTCTGGAATTTGTGGTTATCTTCTGCTGTGTATGATCATTGTTAAGCATTATGAGGTTTCTTATTTCATATCTATTGACATAAAAATTAAGGATGAACATTTTTAATTTTAATATTTAGCTTCGAAACCATTGGACAAGGGTATACTGCTATCATTTGTTTTAACCCTTCATAAAAATAAGTTTTCTTGCAAGTCTCATTCAATCTCTCTATCAGCTTCGATCCACTGTATTACTGATTCGGTGCCCAAGGTGGTGGTCGTTTTATGCTAGGTTAAATGTTTTAAAATTGTGCTGTTATTAACATTGTTTTGTAAATCATCTTTGAATTTTGTGTTAATTCATAAGCGGGATAAAAATGACATATTACTTAAAAATATTCAAACTGAAAAAGGAGTAGATAGAATATCACCATTAAATCACTGACAAATATTTCCCTAATACATAATTACAAATCAGAAATACAATCTTTTTCGCTGTAACTAGCGTTTTATTTGAAAAAAAAAATCAAATTGTTGGGGTTATATTCAATGCTCAATAAACTCATGACTGTCAATTTATTATCATTATGCTATTCAATAGTGTCTTCATTTAAGTCTCAAAGATTGTCTACAACAAGTAATGCCAAGCTCAAGAGCTGGGGTTCCCTATATTCTTATTCCTATTTATTCCCTATATACCTACTTTTTGAAACATTTTGTATGTCATTACTGCATAATTCTCTAGGTATAAAAGTACAAATTCATCTTAATTTAGAAACCCTACTTCCAGACAAAATAGTGAATAAAATCATGATTAGTGAAGATCCAAATTCACCGAAACAGGCTATTTTAAATGTTTTGTGCCTTTTATGAATGTATGTTGCGTTTCTTTTTCTCTGTTGCTGTTATTATTATTATTTACTCTTATTCATTTATGTCGCTTTTAATCAATTTCTCTGACTCTCAAGCTGTGTTATCTTGTGATACTCATCCATTTTGCTGCTAATCACATGTTGTTAGCTTGAGAGTTAATGTTTTTAATATTGTTTTGTTTCATGTGTCATTTGTGTGCTCCTGGTTGGCCAAACACAGAGATATCATACTCATAAAGAATATATCAATATAATCAAATCTGGTTAACATGCAAAAGTATTCCTATTAGGAAATATGATATATTATAAAACGAATTTTCTGCAAAAAACGTTACACAAGCTCACCAAATAACTTATCTTAAATTCATATTGCGCAATAATGCTAAACTGTCTTTGGATTTAGGTGGGATTTTTCATAGTTGTATACTTAAAATCGTAGCTTTGATTTTTGGAGTTCACTCTCATTTTTACCCAACCAGGCAAGTTTCACTTATCGAGAATAACACTGTTACTCGAACTCAATTTTCTTTTTGATATATGGTCAATCGTGGGCACTGGATTCATCTGCTACTTCCATATTACTTATAATCAACACATTGAAGTAAATCACTCATTTGGATCACACTATCTCGACTGATTTATACAACTATAATTAGTTTATGGTCCAGATTTCATAAATGAAGCATTGCTCTATAAAAAAAACACTGAATTATATGGATTCATGTGAAAACCGAGCATTTTTTCCACAACATAATCATCTGTAAGGTCATGTTTTGAGTAGTCATGTAGTCAACACATAAAAATTACTTCAGATCAAATAAACCAATTTCAATGAATCCTACTTGGTTGTATTTTTGCAACATATTGGACAAATTTTTTGTAGGTCTACAAATAATATCTCAGAGCTATTTTTTATATTAACGAATAAGTTAACTCAATTTTCGGCATAATTTGAGAGCCTTCCCCGGGTTGAATAGGACAGTTTTACGTTTTGTCCTTGTTGATTGTGTAGTTACTACTTCAATCTTGTTCAGTTGTTATTGTTTGCGGATTTTTGGTTTACCACCCTTGTTAACATTTTCAGTTTATATTTAAAACTGAAAATCATCAAGTGTTTTCTTGTGATCTTATGATTTATTTATTCTATTTTGCTTTATTGTATTTTTCATTGATTTTCTTCAATTTTAAATAGGATTTTTAGGATATTTTACTCATTGAATCACTTTTGCTAGCTGCGAGCTGGTTGATATATACAAGGATATATCCATGTCTTAAGTATTTTGAATATTTAAGTCTCATCCATTTTCCTTGCATAGAAAATTTATTCCTTGTCAAGTATGAGCAATAGATAAGTACAATTTCACATACTTTCCAATAATAGACACATGACCGGATCTTTTTATACAAATAACATATAATTTCTGGCCTCAAGTTAAAATCTGAACAGTCCATCCAACTTTTCAAAATAAATGCCAATAACAATAATGCAGCATGTGCTTGAACATTATAAGTCTTAATTATAGGTCATTCGCATTGGGCAGACATTGAACACAAGTTCGTCTGCAACAGAAATTGCATCCATAATTATACAGGTCATAACGATTATGTTTGTTCAAACCTCTGCCAAATGCATTTTTCTTGCCTACTTAATTAAGCTGATTGTAGGTAATATCATCTGTGATATGTTTCGGTAAAATATGGATAACAATCGTTTCATCTAGTGTCGGATTTTTAGTTGAAAAAATCCTGTCTACAAAAAACTGAATAAACACATTGTAAAATTAATCCTGTCTGACTTGAGTTGCTGAAAAGTTATATTAGTGGGTGTGGCACGACGAGAGGCGTGATTCGTCATGATTATGCAGCCTTATCGTCTTTCCACGCGAAAAAGATGTAAATTCTATATCCCTCTCTTTGCTTTAAAACAAACTAAGATCAGAGAATTTGTGAATTATGAAACTAGGAGCGGAAAAAGTGCAAAAAAACAGTTGTAAGTTGCTTATAAAGTTCTAGTTCGATTTCTGAATACTGCATGGTGATATTGAAAAATGCAACGCAGCAATGGCTGCACATATTTTAGACTATTTATATACAGTAGTTGTAGCTGTTACCGTGTGTTGGCAGGGCACTTTAGTTTGGATGCTATGAGTGACCCATAGTTAACATATGCAAAATTCGTTATGCCACGCCTACTGGTACCTACTTGTGGTACTATACTTGACACGCATATTGGGCATTCTTTTAGCCAAATGAGGCTGCTAAGTACACACACGCTCGCTTATTAATGAAACAGCACGAGTTAGAAACTCATTTCATATTCAATAGTAGTTACGAGCTATTCTCTTTGGTTAGCCCTGAAGCTTGGGTGAGTGAAAATGCGAGAAGCGCGTTACGAGGCAAAATTGATCAAGTTCGTTCGCCTAAATTAGAAAAGGGACTTTCCCGGGGATGGACACCCTTCCCGTTTCGCAACTAGTCAACAGGTTCTCGAAATCGTCTATTCCGCTTGAAGTTGGATGAAATAGTGGAAACAATTGGTTCAGAGCAGAGCTACATATTCAGTTTATCCGTATATATACAGTTAATTCTGCAAGTAAAAATTATGAAAGGAAACCAGGTTGAAATCGCACTCCAAAATAGATCTGAAAGTAAAACAAATACGTCGGCATATGTCGGTACCGTACCGGTACCCGATAATGACTGGTAACCGGACTAAAGGGACAAATATATAAATCCTATCCTAACTCATTTCACCACATTACTGCATTACCCGTTGCTTAATTATTAGCAAATGCTCCACACACTGACACAGGTCAAAATTCTCTGATTGTTTTAATTATCTGGTTTCTATTTTTGTTGATTAATCTTCAAGTCGTGTCTTCAAGTCTTCAATCAGTATACAGCAGTACAACCAGTACATCAAATACATCTAATATCGAATGATATTCAGGTATTTGATTCATTATGTTTAACATTTATTGTATGCTGCATTGGTCCAATATCAGACTATAGCACTGCTAATTACAGTAGACTAAGTAAGTTTATTTCAATTTTCTGTCACAACAAAACAGAGAAGCAATACATGGCTAAACAAACAAATAGCCCATGACTGCATGAGCTCTTTATTCCGTGATCTCAAATAACTGAATACAGGAATAAGGAAATGTGGCACAAACTGACTTTATTGAATACTTTATCAGGAAATATAAGTGTTATATCTAAATGATATACCTGTAAACAGTCACCTAAATCTGGAAATAATAAAGTTGCAAGTCTCTGTGTCAACAGAAGTATAAGTCGTCATGTCAGATGTTTTCATTCCTCGTGGTTATGTTTCAAAAACATTCTGGCCTGTTGAAAAGTCATCTATACCTTCTGAAAACTTGGATGAATCCGACCTAACTGAAATTGTAAGTACCTCAGTATAATAACAGTATGTTTTTATTCTCTGACAGACTGGTTATTTTCTGTGTTTACAATCTTTATAATGTTATGTATCTTAATCGATTTGCATTGATGTACAATGTTTACTTACAGTTCAAAAACCTAACTAGTGTAGAAGGGCTCACAGAAATTTTTCATAATTAATCATACATTTATAACTACTAATTTTTTCAATATGAGAGAAATCTAAAGCCAATTTATCAAATTTGAATAAATTAATGCTAGTCAATTCATGTTGGGACCAGGCATCTTTCAGGAAAAAATCGTAAATTTCTACTTTTTTAGGTTTAGATAAATTTTCCGAAAAATATATCAATTTCAACCAAGTCAATTATATCTTTTTTTAATACCAGCAACCGTTCAGCGTGTATCATCTTGATCATCCCCATGTTATAAGAAAACGATCCGGACATTTTGGTGCTTCACCGCGGTGTCGGGCAAGTGCTACCGATTCTTTGGATCTCACTAGAAAAGTTTTACAGCCAGCAATCAACTATGATGTTGTGGAAGTGTTTAAGAAGTATATTTCGGTGTGCTATACATTTATTTTTTTAATCTCATTTTAAAATTTCAATGAGAAGTACAGTTGTCAATTGTGATAAATTTTCATTGCCAAATATGATTTAACATACTGTCGGGCCATTTTCCCACAATTTGAATCGGTGGTAAACTGGGGGTCGTGAACAAATTTTTTGTGGCCGTGGAAGATTTTACTTTTGATGCCTAAAATAAAAATTGCTCATCAAATTATTATCGCCTGCATACGAATTTTTGTTGTAACATTGACTGTCGTATGGCCTTTGTTTTGTAGTTGTAACTAGCATAAGTGAAAGCACATGTCAGTTTAATATTGTTTACTTGCCGAACATGTCTACCGTTAGTTGTAATTATCAATTCGTTTATTTCGATTTTAAAATTTGGTATTAAAGTGTCTGTGAAATGTAGGAAAGTTGTTGGGTTGAGCATTCTAATGTGCCTCATTGGAAGACTATTTCTTTGTTGAGAATTATTCAAAACCTGTTTGTTTGATATGTCAAATCAAGTTATAAAGGAATTAAATGTCACCTCTTTCAATCATGCCAGGTTTTTCGGGATGCGACAGAAAATATAGTGTCAAACATGCACACTGAGCCATTTACCTCATGTGCAACTTCTGATGAACTCAATGTTGAGAATATGGTAGGAATAATTACCTTTTCTATAATTGTCTATTAATTCGTTTCGTATAATAATTTTTTATTCAAGGTCTATATCAGTGAGACGGGATCATTTAATTTCTTTGTGGAAAAACTATCTAGTTTCTTTATTGCACAATTTATGATCTGATATACTCAAATCTGAGCTTTTTGATACAAATATTGGCTTTTTATTCAATATGTTGTAAGACTAACTTAAGATAACTTCTGAAAACCAGCAATGCAGTTGATAAGCACCAGCAGAAACATGAATTTTTCTTCCAATATAAACACAGTACATGAGCGATTCATAGAATTAATTCAGAATAGAATTAATAATTAATTCATTAATTTCTTCCTAGGTTTTTAAAGCTTGTTCTGATGCCCTTGAACATTGCAAATCATTATTTGACACCAGGACTCCTGTGAATCAACCAAAAAGTAAAATTGCTAAAATTCAGAATGCAGGTTCTGGAAAAGGGCAACAACAGACATCTATAGGTAATTACATTAATGTCATTTTATATTATCACAGCTTTGGTTGTTATACCAAAACTGATAAATGGAAATTGGAGTTTAGTAGGCACTTTTTAAACTTATATATATATAAACTAAGATAGCTTGACTAAATTATTTATTGTTGTCTAAACTCCAAACTATTGTACCTTAAACTTTTTTCATTGCGACTCTCTTGTCACGGCCCTTAGGAACTATAATAAAACCAATGTGCTTGCATATTCTCGCACAAAAGATCAGTGTTTGCTTTATTTTGTTAATGGTGGGCCTTAACACTGGTTCTAAATCTTTAAAATCATTCAAACAAAAAAAGATCATTATTTTGTCCTAAAATTAGTTAGTGTCAAAGTGGAGTCAAATGTAAGAAGAGTAAGTATGGCTACTTCTGACAATATTGGGTACCGCGACCCCATTGATTACTCTTATGACCCACCAGGGGGGGTTGGGATCCAATTTGAAGAGCCCTGGTCTAAACTATTGTTTTCTAAATTAAATTATTTTAGCGTCATCACTACCTGGATGGATGGTTATGAAGAGAGTGCCAAGTCCAGATTTTCCTTGGACAAAGGTAAAATTTAAAATTATATTTATTCTAATTTACTTACATTTTAAAACTATTTACTCATTCTTTGATCAGCACATTCGAGTAATTGGATTAGTTTTGTTGGCTGATGACTGAATTTTTCAACTAATTGTAAAGCATATGCAAATAATAGTTTAAGCTTTCTAGCATATTAGAACATAAACTTATATTTCAATGTCATTCATCTGATGTTTCTTTTCTATAGTGTTTATGCTATAAGACAATGTATTTTTGTCAACCATCCACCATATTAATAACTAATGCGAAATAGATATTGTTTTGTAATTTTTCCTATATACGATAGCTAAACTGTAATGTTGTTTAGACAAAAATTGGTGATATGTTAATTAGTGTATACAAAAAGTACTGAACGTTTATTTAATTAAATACTGGCCGGCTCAACATGGCATTGAAAGTGATTGAATATTTGCATTGTTGGAAAACAAGCATATTACATATTTAACTTTTCTCTATACAGGGTGGACCAAACAAATGTTTTTGCCCACCCTGTATCATTCAATACATTTTGAAATGAATAGAAATTTATAAAATTTCAGAGACTTGCAAAACACTCACCAAGAAGATCACTCTCTCCAACTCCCAGATCAGCAGTGAGTAATTTAGGCAATTTTATTAACATACTGTGATATCACAATGGAAGGGGGAAGGGGGTTCATAGCGAAAATACTCTAAAATTCACTTTTTTCTATAATGAACAAAATTTTCCAAAAATCTCTATTTTATATCTGTGTAATTATGAAATCAAATTTTTGTTAAATATATTTTCTAACCCAATGTTATCTCTCTTCAAATCTACTAAAAAGATCCCATATTTTCTAAGTTTATAACACCTGAGAAATTTTGTAAAGTGATGCCTCAAATGAACTAAATGTGTATATTTTTATGGTGACAGAATAAGTTTTTGTAATTATATTACATTTAGAAAAGAGGCAAGGCAACTCCAAGAAGATATGGAAGCCCTCAACATGGTGGAAGAGAACCACTTAGTCGTGATAATGTAAGTCATTTGATTCTGTCATGTTTAGGATAGGATTTACCGGTACATATTTATCCTGGGAGAGAGGAAAAACTGACAAGACTGCTTAATCATATGACGAAGACGAACCATAGCTTCTCGTCCAGTTACCAGTTCATGTTGGGTATGGGATTAGTTAGTCAGTTATTTGTTTTAGATGCATGGACTTGGTGGAGAAAGCCAGCGACCAGCGGTTACATGAACCACCTTACCGCAGTGAGGAGTGCAGCAATCCTTTCGCGCATAATTATATTCCACGTAATTCGAACTTCCAATTGTGTATGCATCTGAGGCCATGTAACTTGTACACGTTTGTGTTTTGCAGTGGGATCCAGATAAGCTAAATACTGATACCAAGTTCATAATGGGAACAAGAGCAAACAAGTAAGTTTTGCTTAAATTAATTACATTTTTGAACTTTGGGGGAAATTTTAATGTTTAGATCTATTAAATTTTTGTTCACCAAGTTTCTTTTCTGATCAACATTTTAGAATCTCTAAAATATTACAAATTATATGTAGAAAAATGTTTGCATTTACTCGTACCCCTGACATATCTGTAACTGTATCTCGATAAAATTTTTCATTTCAGAGCGTTAGGACTTGGAGCGACCAGAGGTAGAATTTATATGAAGCATCCAGAATTATTCAAGGTATAACTGAATCATAAATCTCATAATTGATGATATTTTCGGAAATATAAGTTCATATAAATTAAGTTCAAGTGTCGTATAAATCCAATTTTCTTCATGCCTTTTGGCATTATGTATTATTCATTCCAAAAATTTACCAGTGTAGATGTGGAAAGAAATATGTTGCATCAAACCATCAATCTTTTTTATATCTACAAACTAGCATACTGATATACAACCATATTTTCAATACCAGTTTTTCGTTTTGCAACATAATTTTCACCATTTAAATATTTTCAGTATTCCAGTGACCCAGATGATAAAAAATGGATGGTGAAAAACAACTGTATGTTGGCTACAGGAGGAAAAAATGTAAGAAATGTTAAGCATATCCTTCAAATCTGTCTTGAGATGGAAGCAGTTGCATTAACTTGTTTTTGTTTTTAGACATTTATCATGATTGCAGACAACATATTTGACCTGATAGATAATGAATACAAGTATGTACTATTATAATTTTAGTTCAGATTATTATTACTGAATGAAATTAATGTTTACACAATTATGCATCATGGTTACCTATGTTCGATTGCAGAGATAGTCCACATATAATGAGAGAGGAATTACAAGTCTTTACTCTTCCTGAATTTATTCTGCAAAAAATGCGAGCACTTATGATCAAGGAAAAGAAATTGACACAGAAACTGACAAGAAAGACTGCATCACCCGCTCCACCACGATCCGAGGTTTTAGTGGTAAAAGAAGGTAGTCATTTGCAACTATTTAAAGCCCTTACTCTCATTTTATTCATTTTCAAGTTTTCATTCATGACAAATTTCATTGTTTTTATTTGGAGAAATTAGGATACTCTTGTAGTGTACCAAGTTAGGGTTAGGGCGTAATTTTATTCTGATTCCGGCCATAATTTTATACCGATTTTCCCTATTTTAGTTTTATTACGATTCCGGAAACTGTCTGTGTTTGCCAATGCCAAGTGAATATCCCCTTGCCCATAGGTTTCAGTCCCTTTACACAACTTGATGTAAAGTAGGCGAACAGAATTAGTTACCTCCATATTGGAACACATATTTGTGGAACATCGAAATTAGGGCATCAAATTAGTTGTTTCACTTTGTTCTCTGACTTGCCACTGCATAAAATCTTATTTTATTATCTCGTTTGCAATGACGATAATCATTTATCAATACACCTCAATAAAACCCATAATTTATATGGATCTCTTCAATTTATTATATCTTATTATCAGAACATACTTCGGTGAAGTCGTATCAAAATCATCAACAACGTGTAGGTCAAACTTCACCTCGTCACTCTACAAGACCAGCAGCCGAGCGAGCTGCAGCTGCAATATGTGCATCATCAGAAGAAATGGATGAAACTAGTAATGGAAGAGTTTCATTCACTAGACAGTCTGATGCAGAAAGTTTATCTGGATATAGTGATTCAGAGCCAGATAGGACTGGACGTAGTCATGCGACTGGCTAATATTTTCAATTCGATTCAACTCAATGCGAGCTTTCTTTTTGCATAATATGTTTGAAAAACAATGGTATAGGTGTTTGAGAGGAGTAATTTCTAATTTTGATTTGGACGAGTATGACTGAAAACTTTTAAGATAGGGCTTCATAAGGCAATAACTTTTATAAATCTTATGATTTGCTCAATTTTATTGTTGTTTTATTTTTTTATTTTTTAACATTGTTCTCGATATTGTGAGCTAATTTTGTATGATTCTTGGATATTTTTCAGTAGCACATTAAGTGTAGAAACTGGAAATATAGGACTTAAATTTTTCATCCTGACGTTATGTGCCTCAAAAAAAAAATTTGTTGAAATATTGGTAATGATGAAGATGCGAAATTCTCGATATGTACTTTATATTTATATATGTTTTAACCAGTACTGTCTCCCAGTCTACGAGGAAATTGTGCAATTTATTACATTCAGCCGTGTTGTGATTTTCTGTAGAATTCATTCACCAAAAATTTAATTAAGATTAGTGTTTGGCCGACTGTGAGGCAAGCTTATGCACTGCGGTTTGTGCATGGTACTAAGCGTTATACCCGTTTACCATCGCGCGTCGGCATTAGCATTATGTGTCCGTCTATTCGAAATTTTGTTTTAAACTGGCGTCTATCAGTAGGCAAGGGTCATTGAATAGTATATATATATATAAACATGTGCTCCAGGCTCCGTCTTGTTAGTAGCGGCAATTTGAACCATCTTATCGTACTTGCCCAGAGCAGGGAGAAGAATATGCCTCACACGTGCGACGTGTTGGATCTAATTTTTCTTGCTCATGGGAAAAGGTTAGGCGCAATTATTTGTTCAGCTAGGACTTTGACGGGCACCTACCAAATGGTCGTAAACATGAGATCTCATTCGGCGGCTATAAGTCCGGCATTTATAAATAATTGTACATAGATGTAATAATGTACAATGTGGTTTATCACTGGTTTCAAATCCGCGAGCTGCAGGGACGAATGTCCACCACGAATCGCCGTTGTTTAACTTTATTCCACCCGAAATTAGGTGTCCCTGCTCGATAACCAGTCTTGGTGTCTCGCGCCTCCTTTCACCCTGAAGTACCATTTTACTTCATTTTTTTGTATTTTTTATTCACTATGGTGGAAAAATAAATTACTGATTCATCAGATATGTCGTGTAGGAGGAGAAATATAGAGAGGCTCATTATTTTTCCCAACCAAAATGCATATTTGAAGTGATAAAAAATTGAAACAGAACTCATTTTGGTACAGACTGAGAGATGGCGATAGGACCAAAGACCATGGAAGTCAATCACCAATGATGTATCAAAAAATATCTGTCATGTCTATAACAATATCAGCTAAGAGTTGGGTGTAACAGTTTCCGCGTCTGCGAGACTTCCTTCGAATTTCTTGGAGAAAGTGCAAGAAACCTGAATTGGTCGCTTCTCAACAAGATACAAGTCTGGTCAGGTGTCGCACAATATCATGGAATGCCAGTCCGAAAAATTATCCGACTCGATACAGTAATTAGTACGGTAATAAAATGCAGACATGAGTCAACTCAAGACACAGTTATGTCTTTCTTTTCAGTAAGTGAACGTGGACAATTCCGGACTCCTGAATGAGATTCGGACCCAGCGAGGTTCGCGAAGGGACTGGAATTGAATGACGTCATTTCATAGGCGTATTGGGTGTCTGTGAGGCCATCGTAAAGCAATGCCGGTGGGCTTGCTGTTGTTGTATTCTTCTGTCTGTATGTGGTATTTCTGTATTTAGTCATAGTAAAACAGTTATTCATGTTTCAGTGTTTTGTAGTGCTAACATCTGAACACAAGGTACGACCATAACCACATGGTCTAGCTGTAAAGCGCACAAACGATGTTCAATTACTGTTAAAATATTATCTGTAATTAATTATGTTTATGATACAGGGATTGTGTTGACTTTCTGACTTTGGATAGAATTAGGATAGAATTTACCTAATTATCCTAGGGAGCTGAAGCTGATAAGACGGCTTAATCATTTGTCGATCCATATACCGCGGCGGTGTGGCTCAACGGGCTAAGCGTTAGGAATCTGCTCGCCAACGCACCTCTAATTACTCTGCATGGTTTCGAATCCCATGCAGGGATGGTTATGTGCGAGAGGATTGCTGGACTCCTCGCCGTCGTTGGGTGGTTCACGTAACCGCCGGCTTCCTCCACCACCAAGTCCATGCTTCCGAAAACAAACAATATAACTAATCCCATACCCGACTTGGAATGGTAACCGAACGAGAGGCCGCGGTTCGCCATATGGGTAAGCCGTCTTATCGGCTTTCCTCTTCCCCGGGATAAATATTTAAATCCTATCCTACCACATGATATATTTTCAATTACCAGAATATTTTGTGTACGGTATGGCTCTGAATATACCATCCGTCAGTAAATTTGTTTTCGCAATCCATCCCTCTATGTATGTACAGGATGCTGTGTCCCCATATTGTTGGCTATGCCTTATAGGCTACAACCATCATTGATTATTTTTTGCAAGAAAATGTTTTCATCAGAGCTGGTTTTATATAAAAATCATACTACAGTACTATGTTTGGCTTTAGTAAAGGTCTATGCTAAGATCTTCACACTGAAATGTCAAATTTGTTTAAATAGTTATAGTTACCTTACAGCTTGTAAAGATGTGACTGAACATTTGAAATGCTCATGTAAAACATTCAAATCTTTTTGGCCTTGGAATTGAGAAAAGCCGGTGTAATGAATTCCCATATTTGAAATTACTGCATTCTTGGTCATATTGACCAGTTGACCCCACTGTTTATGGCTTTCCTCATGCTGCTCTTAGAAGGCATAAAAGCAGTAATTCTAATTGAATAAACTTTTATGTTCATAACCTAATTGACTTTGCTTGGATTTAAATTAAAACAGTATAATAATAATATTGTGCCTAAGCTATAGCTGTGCTAAATAAGTTCTATAACGAACTATAAACAACTTCTTTAACGAAGATATATATAAATAACTCAAAACAAGCATGATTTTCCAAAATTTACTTATGTAATACCTAGACTCTGGTTATCTGATTTAAAATCTCTCTGCAAATGGCGGTGCTATTTTATAATTTAGTTCCCAGAAACCAAAAATTGTTTGTATACTATTATAGTTGCGATCGAATTGATTAGAATGAGTCATTATGAATTGTAGATTGCTAGCTAGATTTATTGCTTTGCTTGAAGTGAATGTGTGAAATGTCCCATGAAAAGCTCACCAAATTTTTAAGAAAAGGATTAAATAGAAAGATTGTTAGTTAGACTGACAAGAGTTGTAAACTCTGAAACTTGTCAGTGAAAACTGTAGTGTATGCTCCCATTTGTTGAGATGAGATGATTTTTGCTGTGGAGGAATTATACAGCCTTATCAAACTCTTTACAGTTAGTATAGTGAGTCATTGACCTAAATTAATGAACCATTTATGCATTTGAATCATAAATAGAGATTTGAAGTTGTGCATACTCATATTCTGGGATATATTTTATTTTAGTTGAAAAAATGTTCGTAAATTCAATAAACAAACAAATATTCGATCCCATCGTTCTGTACACTCAAGAACATTTTATATACATATTGATGTTAACTACATATTGGTATTTGGTTGATAATATGGACAATTTAAAAATATAGCAGTATTGATATCAGTATTGGCAATAAAGTGATATCGGCACATCTTTAGTTTTCAACATGCTAAGCTCGGGACGGGTCTCGCGTAGTTTCGTACCTAACGTACTTCTAGTGGGTGTAGCATAACATTTTTTTGACATGTCAATCCTAACCCTCACCTGACTACCCCATCCAAAAATTACGTCACTACGTCGTCACAATGCCGTCATAGAGCTTGCCAAATACTCGTACGATCGCCCGAAATGACATCGGCGCCGACGATAAAGAGCTGACTAACGTCAGCGATCTCTCTCCTATCGGGATCGTTGCGACGAGAAAACGAGAGAAATAGCTGTTCGATTTCGGGTTCTCGTCTGCGCGTCTTGAATGACGGTTCGCATAGTTTGAAGGGCTCTATTACGTCGTAGTGACGTAGTTTTTGGATGGTGTGGTCAGGTGGGGGTTAGGATTGACACGTGAAAAAATTGTTATGCTACGCCTAAGTTAGGTACGAAACTACATGAGACCCGCTCGGGACAGTATAAGAATGAACAAAGATTTTGAATACAACTCCTGTATGGAATAATTGTCGATTCGTCGTACAACTTCATTGCTCAGGAATTAGAATAGGATTTACATATTTATCCCAGAGTAGAGGAAAGTCGATTAAAAGGCTTAATCATATGTCGAACCATGGCCCCTCGTCCTGTTACCGATCCATGTCGGGTATGGGAGTAGTTGGCCAGTTATTTGTTTTCATATGCATGGACAATGCCTTAGGCTGAACATGGCTCTAAACAAGTAACTCTTCTGATAAAAGGTTTTTGACATAGCAAGTATTTGATTGGTTCTGAATATTTAACAACTGCACTTTTTATACAATTTTACCAGGTTTTTGTAGAAGTTATTGCATTGGATTATTTTTTGTCTAGCCCGTTATCTTATTATATAATTAGAAAGGGAGGTTTCCCTAATTACACCTCCATATGAAATATGGCAAGGGAATATGATCATTTGTTCAAGCTTTTAATTATAGGAGATAGTGGTAAGTACTTTGTGTCTATCGTTTGTTGTGTTGTTTTTTATGCATACCAAGTAAAAAGTTGATGACTAAAGTGTAAATTTTCACAGGTGTCGGCAAAAGCAGTTTGTTGTTGAGGTTTGCAGACAACACATTTTCAGGTATTTATATCTTCAGTTTAATTTGTTTCCAAGCTTCATCCTTAGGTTTTTATTTTGAATTATGTTCAATTTTCAAAGAGTTAATTTATTTGAGTGTAATTTACATTCTTAATGCTTTGTGTGTGAATGTGATACATTGATTCAACTTTGCACTTTGTGTTATTTATTGAATGCCACACACAGGTAGTTATATTACAACAATTGGAGTTGATTTCAAAATCAGAACAGTTGAAATTGAAGGCGAAAAAGTCAAATTACAGATCTGGGATACAGCAGGCCAAGAACGATTTCGTACAATAACATCAACGTAAGAATATAAATTGTAGCGAGTACAATTCGTGAGCTATTGTTTTATTAACCCATTCAGGCTTTCAATTATGAATGTTTAAAAATGCATCTCATTTAGTTTTGGATTCCGTGTAGTAATGAGTAAATAACACTTTTTTAAAAATTCTAAGTGGAATCAAAATTTAGTTCCAATTTTAATTTTTTTTATTTTAAATGATATTTATTGTAAGTCAAATTTTACAAAATAAGATTCAAAAAAGTAGAACGAGGTCTTTTAAAAAATTCTGTTTCTGTTTTGATCAGTATTTTATTCCAGTATCTCTGTGTATTATATTGAAAACATGTAACAAAATATATCGCAGTCGGACATTAACAGTTTTATTGTACTAATGATTTTAACAGATATTACAGAGGGACACATGGTGTTATTGTTGTTTATGATGTGCAAAGTGCAGAATCATTTGTCAATGTCAAGAGGTGGCTTCATGAAATTGAACAAAATTGTGATATTGTCAATAAAATATTAGGTTAGTATTCTTCAATCTCTTCAAGTAGAATCGGTTGAAATCAACAATTTTGTTTTAAAAATTAATTTGAAGATGGTTTTTCTTTCTACAGTCGGTAATAAAGATGATGATCCTGACAAAAAAGTTGTAGAAACAGCAGATGCTCAAAAATTTGCAGATCAAATTAAAATAAAATTGTTTGAAACAAGTGCGAAAGAAAATAAAAATGTTGAAGAGGTGAGTCTGCCGATCATACAGTTTGAAAAGTTTATAAGCTTCTGCATATTTGATAGGCATGTTGAAAGTAATTTTAGAATACAACCATGATGTAGGCTACTGTTTTTTGTGTGTGAATATCACCAGCTAATAAGATAAAACTGGCATACTTGTGTCAATATTTAACTATACATTACAGTTTCTCTGAGCAAATACGATTGTTTATTGTGATATTATGAATCCTTCATGGAAATAAAATCTACTCCAATTCAGTTCAGTTGAACTTGTATCCATATAATATGTGTATAGTTTATACTATACTGTATAGATTTTAAAAACTATCTATTTTCTACTTGCACAAAGAATTCCCATTGATGTCCAATTTCTCTTAGCAAACAAGATACAAAATTGTTTTTCGTAATAGTATGAATCTCTTATGGAAATGTAATACATTTCAAATTAGTCAAGACCAGTTTTGTGAATCACTGCCATCTCATGATGCCATAATCATGCCGTTGTATTCTGCTGACTGAACTTTTTTGATCGGTAGTCATAATTGACTGCAGTGAGTAAGTTCATTAGGAAATTTTCACATTTTAAGAAGTTTCAGGATTTTGCCTGTTGCTTTATCAACAAGTCAGGTCATAGCAGGAAGTAATTGGTGTGATGGCTGAGGCGGTCTTGTCTCGTAGGTTACAGTAAATTTTTGTGTGATTCTTATATACCTTAGAGATCTATTAGTTATAGCATAGGCAGGAGATATACAATTTATGACATTTACAAATTATGACATTATACAAATTATGTGCTTTTTGATCATAAGAGCTTTACCATGTTGGTTCAATAAATGTTGACAAAAAAACGGTTCAAGATGACTTAGTACATGTTATGCCTAAAATGATAGTTTACTGACTTATGTCCATAAGAATCATTGTTCAATTATCCATTTTAAAATGTACTGTCACATAGTATTTTTATCACTAGGAAGACATAGCTAGTTAACCTTTTTTCATGTTCGGCATACTTTACTGTATTGACACAAATAACCTTTTATATTACTCATTACTTGATGATGACTGGTTTTCAGTCATCCCACATACCCGGTTGAATAATTTAAAGTTTTACTAATGCAATATTTGTCTAAAGTGATTGATATTCACTATTGAACAACAGATAAATAGGTATAAACTATGTGTAATTGTAAATAAATAAACAAGACTAAATAACTACTATTGTATGTACGCCATTTTTTCTTTTTATCATCAAATCTGTACGTCAAATTAACATTATTTCAAGTTATACCAGTTTTAATTGGTATACACCAATTTAAGCCTTATTTATAATAAGTATTATGAAACATTATGCTGTCATAAATATAAGCACAGAATGACAGAAGTTTTTTTCAATAAACATGATTAGTTTATTTTACTAATATACTTTTCAGATGTTCACTGAAGTTACACGACAAGTTTTAAGAACCAAGAAATCTGCGGAGGCATCTGGTCGAGATCAAAACATTGAAACAGTTAAACTAGATACAAAGAAAAAGGGAAAAAAGAAGGGTGGATGCTGTTAATGAGATTGGTTATTCGCCGAATTATATATAAAATCTGGTTTCTGGGCCCCAATTATCACCATATGTGCCCCAGTTGTCAGAAGCTGACTATATTATTGAATAACCCAAAATATTATTACAGTGGAGAAAAAATATTAGAAAAATATCACAGTGGAGTTGGAGGTATGGTTGAAAGAGCCATTTAAATGATATTAGGTCTTTTAATATAAGAAACATCAATTCTTTTCACTCAATTTTCATATTACATTATTTCAAAATCAGAGTACCCTGGGGTTTGCCACATGTTATAACTGCATAAAGTAACAGATATAATTCATTATTCAACACATAGAAAGTTGCATACACATTGTATCAAAAATAGAACCTGACCCTGGAAACATAATTTGATAATGCTTATTGACCAGTTCACACTCATAGAAAAATCATGTCTATACAATGCAGTTTGTAGTGTATTTATAGAATGGAGACTTAATTCATGAAGCTCCAGTGCTTTTTTTCATCATCGATTACTATATTTTCAACTTTTTCTAATTGATTTGTCTCTAACTATACATTTCTCATAAGACGGCATTCTCCTAATAAACGAATTATCTTTGCTGGGAAGTGCTTTAAATATTCAAAAAAACACATCTTATTGTTGTAGATCAGAGTACTTGAAAAACACCTAAATTAAAGAATTTATTATATACGTCTTGTGTTTAAAAAAAAAATCTAAGCCATAATTGTAAGGCTGTTCAAATAATATGGTTCAAATCAAACCAAAAAACAGCTATTGACGGAGAGACGGTTATTTGTTTTGGGGTCTTTATTCCTAGAAGTTGAGACAGCCGTATTCATAGCCATTGTCATAGCAAGAAAGCAGTACTGTCACCCACTGTTTTCAATGCATCAGCCTTTTAATCAGCCATCACAATTACTCAGCTGTATTCATAGTAGAAATTCATGAACTTTGGCTTTTAATAAATGTCTGTTTGTACTTCGAAATCATGCATAGTGTCTAAATCTAAAGAATTAGTATTGATTATAAAAACAGACATGATATATTATGTATTACTATTCCATTTCATTTGACAAGGGTATTTATTATTACTCATTCAACTGCATTTGATTGGCATTTTGGTGTAATCATTATTAGCGAAATTATGGATGCCCTTGTGTTTTGTAACTATACAGAGAATGGTTAGTATACAAATTGACTATTTTGAGTTCAAAAAAACATGGTCTTTACATGTAGAGGGATGTTCAATTAGATTTCAATGCTAAGAATTACCTAATTCTGAATGAAAATTCTTATTGAGTTGTGAGCATATACTCATGCCGAAATTCATGGAGAAAAAATATTATAGTCAATTTTTATTATGGTTCTGTCAAGCTCAACTTCAATTAACAGCAACAATAGTTAGAATACATTTTACAAAATTTTCATTGACTGATGTCGATAATTTATGTCTCTTTTAATTGCTCTGATACATTTAAATGGTGTGTACCATTGGTCATCTCTATTATTATCATGGATAATACCTGAAATTTTGAAATGTCAACCCAAATTATGCCATTTGAGTATGAGTAAGTACTGAAAAGTCTCTCTCATATCATTCCGTACCAACTTAGCCATACCTTGACCAGCTTGGGAGTTTGTAGGCTAGTTAAAGTACAAATAAGACTTATGAGTTGACGATTGATTAATCTAAAAAACGTACAAGGTTTTAGTCATTGGTCTGGTAGCAAATTCACAGTTTATCAATCGTAAATAATGTTATTCGTTTATTGAGTTAATATTTATGCATGTTTGAATTTACCTACCATATCGTATATTGAAAGTATCTATTGTATGATATGCAAAATGAAGGAGTTTAAATTTTAACGTGAAGCTCAGCAGATAATTATAAAATGTTAGATACAGTTTTCAGCGATAATTTTTCTTATAACTTATTATAAAATTAGTGTAATCAACGTATAAGTACCGGTTATGAAATATTGCATATTGTCATGATTTATTATCCGTTATGTAAACTTCGCATTTTCTTGTAAAGAGTTATTATTCACTTCACTAATTCATGCATACATAGGATTATGATATCCCATTGTGGCTTTTCATCGATATCGTTTCTGACTATATTTAATTCGTCAAGCCTCAACAAACTAAATCGATAAAATGAATATTCTATTTGATCATATATTCGTGATATTTCGGTATATATCACACGCAAAGCCATACAAATATAATGTTAGATGACGCTGAACAAGTGTTGAAAAGTGATTTGTTTTCAGCCTTGTAAAAACAATTTATTATACATTACTTTCCCAATTGGCTATCTATAGGCTATGTATAGAGGAACAAATATGGAGTTGTCTGTATATCTTTTTAATAGCATTTCAGTGCATAAATTCAACCAATCTTTAAGGCTCTGATCTGGTAAAAGTCACGATCTCCTCTCCTTGGTAGTTGAATTTTTATTGTTCATGTGCTCATACTTTCATATTTGTCTCATGAAATCTCACACAATTTAATTCATTTCTTACAAATGAATATCATAAGATTCACTCAAATGCATGTTCAATGCAAAATAAACAGCTGCTTCAATTAAAAGTGATGATCTCATCTAATATTGAAATGTCTATTGGGAAATTTTTACTCCTGTAAAAATATGTTTTGTAAATTGTCTAAGAGCAAATAATGAGTAATACTTGAATCCATCTCGCTGTTTTTGTTCAGATTTTCAACATTCATGACATATAAATTATGGCCACAGGTATTCAAATGGAAAAAGGGACATAATAATGAAACTTACAAACATGAAAATGAATTATGTCATGGCTTAAGCTATTTGATTTAACTTAACAATTCCATTTGAACCTCAATGATGAGGAAGATTCATACCAACAATTGTTTAACACGTTCTCCAGTGATTTATTGGATTGTATTTGCATGTGTGACATATGATTCTTATTGATATGCATATTTGGAAGACATTTAGAAACATGTATAGTATATAAAAATGGTTGTAATTGACAATAAACTCGTCATAAATTTTCTAAGAAAAAATTTCCCATATTTGTTGATGATGATTTACCTTCTTTCCACACACCAAATGCTTGTAGATGTTGTATAATAATTGCAGATTAATTACTGATTTTTGTCCCATTAAATTAATCTGGTTAATGGGGCTTGATGCCACATGATTGTGTGCGTGAAGTAATAGCTGTTATGTCAGATTTAATTTCTTCTCATCAATTTCTGATTTACTGTTTCAGTTTAGTATTAGTGTTATCACATTATATTTAAGCTTGGAAACTACTACATACTTATTATTACTTAATCAAGTTATATTATAAAGTGCTCTTTTATACACTTGACTTCTTTGAAATACGGTGTTCTTGATTTGTAGCAGTTCATTTTCAGTTGCAAAAATTCTATTCACCGTAGGCAATTAGGACAACATTAGGTAAGTGCAGTGGTGGGATTCAGCCCGTTCGCACCGGTTTTATAGAACCGTCTCACGGAATTTTACGAGATCAGCGAACTGGTTAGGATATGGTTGCCATACCGTCCGGAAAATTCCGGACATGTCCGGAATTTAGGGTTATATTTTGCGCCCGGGAAGAATTTAAAAAAATGCTCAAATGTCCGCAATTTTACTACATCTGCAATCGCACTGTGCACACTGCTAATACTAGGAGGTTGTGTGGAATTATGATGTAACAGAGCGTTTTCCTTATCAATGATGTTTACCATTTAGAACTTCCTGATTGTTATTCGCTGACCGTTGAGCAGCTGCGAGTGTATTTGATAGCAGCTAGTTTCTTGTTAAGTTGGCTGAATACAGAAGTTTTATACCGCAAAGCTTTACTTGTGGATTTTTCTATTCGAATAAGAAGCTAGTCAGGAATTCGGGATCGAAAGTGCTGGTCCCTGAAGCATTTTGGTTCAGTTAGTCTGGTGGTAAATTACTTTGTTTTTTAGACTAGAGCAGGGGTTCTCAAACTTTTGGTGTTGCGGAGCCTTCGAAGTGGTTGACTATTATTCACGGAGCCCCAAAATAAATTTTAAAATTGTTACTTTCAGATTAATATTACTGAGTAAGTTAGAAGTACTTTACTTCATTTAATTGCTAAACCTTTTTTAATAGGGTTAATACAAGTCATAAATAAATCTAAATTTTAAAGATAAATTATACCTATTAAGGCTGTAAATTTGACACTTAACAAACATATTAATAAATTAGGGGTCGAATCTTTTCCCTTTTGATGTTTTTGGAAGACTTAAAGGATCGCTAATAACGTTCGCGATTGCATTTTGTTACAACCGATTGTTTTCGTCAGAGTGACGTGCTTTTCAAACCCCAAACATCCTAATGTCTGTGTTTATTCTCCCTCCCTAAATCTAAATTTCCTTCGGCATATATATGTATTGTTCCACAATGACGACAATAATTGCTTTTTTGTTCTCGTGGGGAATTATGAGTTCAATGTGAAAAACATGTTATTTAAAAATAGGTAAATCCGCAACTCAAATTTCTTGATTGAAAAGCGGAATTATGAAATATATATTGAAACTAAAACTTAAAACGAAAGATACCACTATAAGTTTTGTTTCTGCAGATTCGTGACAGATTAAAAACGCTTTTTTAGTCGTTGTAATCACAAAATTTGGTGTTATGTTAGGTTTTCTTTGGTTATCCATCGTAGTAACTAAAATCGAAACACAGTCAATTGTGCGCGTGATGTGATGATGTAGCTACCTGCAATAAAATAAATTTCAATCTTCGTATTTTGCCCAGACCTTGTGATTTTTTTAAACGGCGATATCTTGCAAAGAATAGGAGTGGCGGACCTGCGATGGGGCGGAGTTAGTGTTGAAAAAATGGCTCAAATTTGTCGAATTCGCTATAATCTGCCGCTCTATCTGTCATGATTACGATTTAATCAGGACGGGCACAAATATCTTATCAGACTACTGGCACCAGTAGTAGGTATGTTCTTTTGTGGACAATATATATATATGACTTTGCTTCTAATATCTTATGATAACAGCGTCGTTCAGGATAAACGGTATTCCAGAAGAACTTCGTTTCATTGTTTCTCATTTCATGTCCGCGGATTGTCGTGGTAATTTGAGAAGTAATGATTTTTATTGTCGTGAGTCGGCACAACTGCAGGTTACATTGAACCCAATTAAACCAATAAACAAGTCATTTCAAAATGCCCGCATCGGTCATGGGTTGCACAATTGTAAATTGTACTCATTGAGTTTTAACCCCGACCTGGTGATTTTTGAAACGGCGATATCTCGCATAATAATAATCTCGAGTGCGAAAGAACAAATCATATTTGACAAATCCCTAAAATACGATTTCATTTTATTTATAGTTGACAGTTTATCACGTATTTTATGGTATTTTAGAATAGTAAACTTTTATTTCAGTAATCTCGAATCAAACGTGAGTAACGATGAGTACCATTAAATTATTATGATAAGACATTTTAAATGCTCGCATCATTCATGGATTGAATATTTTACGCAGCAGAAATCTCGTTATCCGCTGAAATTTTTTTTTTAGTCTAGAAGAGTGTTCCGCGGAAATTTCCGACTTCAATATTGAACCCCCCTCCCTCTTAAAAATCCTGGCTGCGCTCCTGCTTATGAATAATTTTTGGATTCCGCCTCTATGCCATATTTCGTGGCTATATTGAACAATTACAAAATTAGCCAAGTCAGTATTTTGAAAAGTAATCGAATAGCTCGCGGAGCCCCTGGGTTTCTCTCGCGGAGCCCTGGGGCTCCGTACGGAGCACTTTGAGAACCTATGGACTAGAGTATGCATTTTTAGTTGGGTTGTATTTATTGTTTCTAAAAAAAGATATTATTTCAAATGGCTAATTCTAAACGAAAGTACACATTCACTAACGAGATGCAAGAAAAACATCCATGTTTTAGAAAAGGCAGGAGTGATTATGGGGCAGAATGCTTGGTTTGCAAATCAGGAACCTATGTATCTGTCGTGCACAATGGTAATGGTGATTTAAACACCCATCTGCAATCGGAAAAACATCGCAAAACAGTAAGAGGGTCTGTCGCATCAACAAAAATGACAAATTATTTTGTTACAGCAGGAAGCAAATACGAGGATGAAATCACCGCCGCAGAAGCTACTCTTGCATTTCACGCTGCTTTTTGAACTCTGAATCCCCAGAACGACGCTACTCTCTTACCCTGACCTCCCACGGCGTCGCATCGATTTGACGCGTTAAAAATTGTAATATCTCTAATTTTAAATCAACATAACTTCTAAACCATTAGATATCAGATGGTCTGTATTCTGTAATATGTCATATAAAAGCTTACATAGTCTTTTATTTCTAACTGGCATTATTGTTTATGAGCTGTTTTGATGAGATGTGTAAGCCTATTTTCAGTCCCATCTGCCCCTTTTTTTTTAATTTTAGTAGGATTTGATACCTTTTTTAGAAATGTATCATCAATATATGTAAAATTCTGAAAAGTATACAAAATTACCTTTCGGGGGATATATGGATGACTTTCTTAACATACGCATAACTCATTTTATTGCAGACTTTGTACTATCGATTCCAATGGTTTGTGAACAAAATTGATCAACTATTTTGTCGCCAAGTTTGCGTAACGACGCAAAGGGCGACGACGACATTGTCCTGATAACGTTCATTGACGTTTCGTGTGTAACGCTTTGCGTGATATAGATTGCGCAATTGCACATCTGATCGTTCACAGCTTGAGTTCAGATTGTGCCATCAGTATCATATCCTCGGCCGCAGATAAAACCTCTATAGTCAGACGAATCTTGATCGAACATAGTAAAATTGCTAGAATATAAAGGCCATTTTATATATATATGTTAATTATTTAAATATGGGACGAAAATGAATGGCCAAAGTGAAATATTTGATCCTCATGCATTTATGAGGTTCCGCCGGAAACATCAAGGCTAATTCTTCACCGTTGGATATCATGAAAATTGAATAAAAAAAAACGGATAACGGGAACTCGCAAGACATGATGGCACCAGTAGCTCATCGGGTCAGTGTTTTACATTTTGCGGCCTCATTCGATTTTCGAAATTACTGCATATACCTACGCAACATTCCTGATATCGCTATATTTACAATGGATTTTAAACGAAACTTTGTCCAGATAAATATTGGAAAGTATCCATCTATCGGAAGAAGAAAATATGGCACAATAAAGTCCAGCATTGGCGCTGAACAATGCATCCATCGATATGTCCCTTCATTCCGTTTTTAGAAATCCGTATTTTTGCTATTCGAATTTTTCATATATATCTTTATGCAATTAAAACGGCAATAACACTGCATATTGTGTGTTTTAGTCGAAAGATTTTGAGGCTGGATGGAATGCGTAAATTCTCCCTTGTATCGTTTACAAGTCGTTAGTCGCTTCACGAGTACGAATTAAAGTAAATGACGTTACAAGCATGCGGGGAAAATTGTTTTTCATATAGAACGTAAACGTGCTACGTGCCGACGTAATTGCTTAACGCCGCTGCGTAACGGCGTAAATGTGTCAGGTTGTTATTTACGTCGCCTCGATCTTGCGACAAAGAAAATCACGAATAAAAATGCTTCTAAAATTTGAATGGTGCAACATAACTTCAATCTAATGGTATCACTGGAAAGCTATCTTCATCTTCTACAAATGTTGTCGATAATCTACTAGGTTAAATTTTTTCAATTAGATTTAGGAGTTTTTCAAAAGTTTTTTATGCTTTTCAATTTTGCCAATTTTCATAAGATGATCACAATATCCTATCTCAATTTTAAAATTATACTTAGCCCTGTAGATTATCTTTCACGCGATGTGAAACTTGTCTAAATATAATATATATATGGTTCGCGAGATATGAGTGTTTCAAAGTTGTGTAGCGCATACGGGATGCTAAAGCGGCTTTCGGCGTCAGAAGACTTTCTCGAGCTTTTTGTCCATGGACTGTACATCTGTTCCACTTAAAAAGATTTTCCTTGATTTTAATGCAGCGAAGAAGTTTAGTAGTGGCCGCACAAAGACAGAAAAAGTTGTTACTTGCGCAATATTCTATTGATGCTGTTCTAAAAGGTTTTGAGGAAAACGATATCGCGTATTTTGGCGTTACATCAGATGGCCGCAATCACAATGAACCGAAATTATTTCCTACAATCATTCAATATTTTGACTGGAGGAAAGATGGTTTGCAATCAAAATTGATTGAGTTTACAAACAAGGCAAACGAGACTGCCGACACAATTGCCACTTATGTAAAAGACACCTTAGAAAAAAGATGCCTTTAAAAAAATGTGTGGCATTTACAGGAGACAACTGTAAATGC